ATACCATTGCTCACACACGGACTAGACATGCATTATGGCAAATTACTGCCAAATCTGATCCCACAATCCAGAGTACTTTTGACCGTATTCTATCGAAATATCAAACCCGGCTTTGGGTTTAGGCTTGTTCCCTCGGATATAACAAAGGAAGTTAGTCTGAAATATAAGTTTAACTATTATGACCGTGATCCTAGACCCAAAATTATGTTTTGTATTACGTTTAGTCTGTTATATTGATTGGGGATTCTGTTTACACTACTATATTCCTGCATTGAGTTCATTTGAGATTATTAAATAAGGGATGGTCGAACTGATTAGATTCTTCATCTTCTCGTTTTCAGACGGAACTCATGAAGGCCATGAATTTTCCATTGGGACCTCTGCTCTTGAAGACATCCAGTTGTATCACCATCCTGCACACGGGGACTGATGATGTTCTAAGGTACAGTCAAACCTGTCTATCGATTTAGACAGATTCTTCCCTTCCAGAGGGAGGCTTTATGGGTGAACCGCTATAGAGAGGTGGTCATCAAGACAGGCTTGACTGTAAAAAGCAACACATATAGAACGATAAGATTGTTCTTGCTGATACAGAAGACATACAGAAGACGCCGACAAGATGACGACGCTGGTGAATGCTGATAACACGCAGCAGTGATCGAATAAACGAACAATACAGCAAATCAGGCTGTCACGGCTTTAAAATAGGTCAACGATTTTTACAGATGGATTTTTGTGTATTAATCAATTCATGCTTATGTCTTCCAAATTAGGAGTGTGTGATATTGTTCTAGACATGTTTAGATGAAGGTTTTGATCTTTCTGTTAGAAAAGAACTCAAGCGTCCCCCTATCAAAATGAATGAACTTGGCCATTGATCATCCCTTTTCATTGGCTTTATATCGTCTCCATAATACAAATGAAGTAGTCTAAACTAGCATTTATTATGTTATGACAATGTTGATTCGTTCTAATATCCTTTTCGTTGAACATTTCGTCAAAACATAATGGAAACTAGTCACTTATACTTGTACACCTCGCGAACCAGGATTATTGTCAGGGGCGGATCTAGCTTTTTGCCAAGGGGGGGGGGGGGGGGGGGGGTTGACCCAGTGTCGGATCCAGGATTCTGCAAAAATCGCGCCGTTTTACTGTTTTACTTTGTTTTGGTCTTCTTCTCCCCCCCCCCCCTTTTCCCCCTTTTTTCTCACTTGGCCGCCGAAGGGGAGGGGGGGGGGGGTTAAACCGCCGAACTATAAATTAAAAGAACATTAAGATTACAGCATTTCCGAAAGATCTACAGCAATGTGTATTCATACAATGACGTATGTTATAATCATAATCAGAGCAGTGTCTTAATACAAATAAAAGGAACAAATGTTTTCTATGTTTACTTTGTTTTCAAAACGTATTGTAAAGCAGCCTCTGAGGAACTAATACTTCAACAAGCTTTTGGTGAGTCCTCCGTTTTCGTGCCACTACAATTGTATTTGTTTTATTTACTTGCATATTTTGTTGTAATAAACTCATATTAAATTGAAAATAATATTGCAATTTTATTGTATTGTGTTTTGCATAAGAAATAAAATACTTAGAATTTGAATTTGGTAATCTTGAACCTTTTCTTGTTTGTTACTTGACAATTCGAGGCCATTACTTCTATATGTATCATCAATTCATGTAGAACTTAACCATTTAAGCTGTAAGTGTAACCTTTTTCAGGCAGACTCTATGCAGCAGTCGGGAAGCTAGCAAACTGTGATGTGGAATGGCATTTGACACACGGGGAGACAATTTATTTGTGCTGATAAAATTACTGATAAAACACAAATGTCAATCTTAAATTTGGCAAAATAGTGATAATGAGATTCAAAATTCTATATTTTACAGTTGAATATATTCTGAAGTTACTCCAGATTTCATAGTGAAAATATATCTTTAAATCTTTCAAATTTGCCAAGTTCAGCTATACTCTGTCGAGATTTTGTCTACATAAAGTGTCGGAGGGATTTTCTGTAAACTATAAACCAGTTCCCAAATGGGATAATGGTTTCATGTATCAAAAATACATCAAAATGATAAAAGTGATGATGATAATTATAACAATAACAATACTACTTCGACTTCAACTAATAATGATGATAATAAGAACTATAGCAATAACATTTTTGATAATTATTATGATAATAATAATATTAATAGTTATCATTAGCGCTTAACATATACACATTGTTTCTAAGTGCTTACATAAAAATAAAGACAAAACTTTAATCAACAATGATTTCAAAAATGTATATAGAAAAAGGAGGCATATTGTTTTATTTATTGGTATATAATAATCGAGCAGCAGCACAAAGCTGATTTGGTCAATTTACCAAAAAAATACAGTGATGTAAATACATGCACAATAGTATAACAAAGCATATAGTAAATAAATCTGTAACATAATGACAAACCAAATAATTTATTGTGTTCGTTTATAAACATCGTGTACTAGCAGGAGAATATAAAAGAGCAGGAGAAGGTATATAGCTAATAAAAGGGATAGTGATAGAGCGAATGGGGTAGAAAGAGAGGAGATGAGAGAAAAGGGGAGGTATAATGAGAGAAAGGAAGAGAGAGAGAGAGAGAGAGAGACAGAGAAAGCAGGGAATGAAATGAACCCATTATAATAAGTAAATAATCATATTATTCCTAATTAACAAAACTACACATTGCCTGAATTAACAACTTATATACATAGTATGTACGTGTATTATATTATTACATGTAATACATTTATGCAAATCAAGAAAAGTCAAAATTCGGCGAGACAACAATAATCATCAAACAAGTATATGCAAGAAGAGAGAAAATGTAAGGTTAAAAGAAAAGGGAAAGAAGGAGATATGTTTAAAGAGAGAAAGAGAGAGAGAGGGGGAGAGGGAGGGAGAGAGAGAGAGAGGGAGAGAGAGAAAAAAAACTACAAGTAAATATAACAATAACAGAAATACAAAGACAACCATATACAGATACATTATGATGAAGGCATGCAGGCTGAAATAGTGACATTGATTTATTGACTCAAAATTAGCATAAAAATCTGTAAGAAAGTGTAGGTGTGCTACTACGTTTTCTTTCCCTCTATCTCTCTGTATATCCCTCTTTTCTATTTCTCCTTCTCTCTCTCTCTCTCTCTCTCTCTCTCCCTTCCTGTATTTCTATCTCTCTCTCTTTTCCTCTCTCTCGCTTCCCCTCTCTCTTCCCCTCTTTATTTCTCTCTCTGTCTCTCCCTCTTCCCCTCCCAACGACGTTATTATAACAATGACATAGATTTATCAGTGCAGTACAACGTCATGAAAAATGACTTCTCTTTTTCTGTTTCAACATATTCTTTCATTGTGTTAAGTTTCTCTCCATTATTTCTTTGTATATCCCTCTTCTCTCTTTCTCCCTCTTCTCTCTCTTTCTCTCTCTCTCTCTCTCTCTCTCTCTCACTCTCTCTCTCTCCCTCTCTCTTCCCTTCTCTTTCTCCCCATCTCTCCCTTCATTTCCTTTTCTCTTTTTACATGGACATAATTTTTTTTTAAAATCACCTTCATGGGATAGGATTAATGTTATTGTAATAGACTTGCTCTGTTTCTAGAGACATTTTTATATCACACGCCATCTCTCTCTCTCTCTCCCTCTCTCTGATGATTTCAGTTACCGTTTCTCGGGCATGAACATTTTTGGAACTTGATAATGAGGGGACGTGATACAAGGGCGGACCAGGGATTTTGTAAAATAGGGGGCACAAACTGGCCCCAACCCACTCCGGGGTCGGAGGTACCGCATGAGTGTTCCCCAAATCCCTGGTAAAGGGGTATTTTTTGGCGCGACGAAGTCCGACCCGCCATTGACTCTCACACCGAAGATAGGGGGTGCTTTCAAAAAGAGGGAATATGCGTGCGCGAACCCTAAATAACACTGAGTGGGGGAGGGGGCGGGGCACAATTAGCCGACATTTTCTGATTTTGTACGAAAGGTTTGCCAATCGGGTTTCAAATAAAGTTGGGGGAGCCGGATGTACACCCCCCCCCCTCCCCTCCAAAGTCCACCAGTAGTGAACTTCCTTCATTGCGCAACATATTTTTTTCTTTGTCTCGGCAAAGCCTGTTTATGTCCTCGGACCATACACATAAAGTGCATCCAAGGGAGAAGACGACAGACACCGCCATCTTGTTTGATTTAAATTTCCTGCAAGCAACTGAGGTTTGATCCCTGCCTATTCGTTTCTTGGTCCTTTATTGATATAACGTGTACTTGTGTGCATTTTTTTTACAGTGGTTTTCCATGCTATTGTCCTATTGGTACTTATCAAATGTATGGCTACTTAATGACCTGTTAAGTGCTTAGAAATTATGAATAAATATTGCATTACTCATCGCCAAAATATGCATACTCACAAGTTTTCTCGGTGCGCCGAAGAGTGCACCTGGCCGTTTACCATAATATTATGACTGGTGTGTGGCAGAGCTACTGTTGTTATTTTGTTTACATGGAACGAAAATTGGAGCATTGTGTCATGATCTAGTGTCATGCAAAGTGTTAACATGTGCATCAAAAGCAGTTTATAGGCATTCGTCATTGGCAGATAGTCCTTACACCGCTCCTTACCCATGAAAGAAAATAAATAAAGAAGAGAATAATCAATTATGTTATAGTTTCCCATTATTAAAATTTGATTATAGTTACATTGTACTGATTCTACAGTTCACAAAGGACCATGTTAATACAATCACGATGGGCCATTTAATTGAGAATGAAGTATGTACGTTACAGCCTTGAACCCGTGTGTATCTGTCTACTAGGATCCCTTATAGATAAAGGGATGGGTGGATAACCGCAAAATGTTTAAAAAGCAAACATTTGTATTTCGGTCAAGAATTCCCTCTTGAAAAGTTCTTATGGATGATACCGATTTAGGTAATCGAAGCCCGCTTCCGGTGGGATGTGGCTGAGTGTGTACGTACACGTATACACAACGAAGATCCGGTTTTGGCGCGAAAAATGTCCCGCCATCTGATAATTGATGAAGTAACTCTTCATTTACATCGAGCTATTCAAGGAAGGCGGACGCATTATCATTATATTGTAGAAAGCCTTCGCGCCGTTGTGTTGAGAATAGCTGGTGTCTCCCAACCGTTTTAATTGGAGGAACCAATTGTGTAGAAATTCTTCTTTAATTTCACAAAGGTAGGATTATGCATGAATGTTCTTGACGTTTTCATTTCAAGATATTTGTCTGTACACATATTTGTATTTGTCTTGTTATGATTGAATTGTATTTTCTCGCATTTTTGTATATGTGAATGATCACAACTCTGAGTAATAACGATACTGATGATGATTATTATCATTATTAACATAATTATTACTTTCATTATTATTAATATTATTTTCATCATTATCATTATCGTTATTATTATCATCCGTACGTTTTTTTCTCTTCATATACCTGTTAACAAGAGTATATCATTTTATCTGGTGCAATCCTTTATTCCAAGGAAATTGATTAACAGCGCATCTTTCCCATGGTCATAGATGACAGCATTCTATGCCTTTTCACAAAACCGTATTAAGCACACGTTTACCGACACCCACATTGAAACGCAATGGGATGTCGGTGATCTTGCATTTATCTTGCGGTGATCTTGCATCTTGCATTTATGACTGTTTTTTAAGCAATGCCCTGGTTCCCGGTGTAATGTATCAACGGAACAAAAGAAATACGCCTCCGTGCTTTCAATTCTAGTGATACAGGTTGTAAATAAACGTGCAATAATTTTCTGTCATAATACTGTTGTTATTTTGATGTTAAGTTGTATTCAGTGGTTTTGTCAATATAAGCTGGTGACTCCGGTGTTATTCTATTTTCCAAGAATTGATTATCTGGTCGAAAGCAACCTGCCTCTAGTTTCCCCGTATGCATTGTTTTACGCATTGGAGTCCGAGTCATAATTATGGTAGTTTTTTTTTCCACGCGTACATTGTGGAATAAACTTCTCAGTGAATTGTTCAACAGCTTTCATGGTTATTGTCTTGATCTTTACCACGATACTTATACTTCGGTACCTATATCAAGTTTTTTGCTAGATTGTTAACATGGTACAACCACATTGTACTCTGCCTATCATGAAAACTGAAGCCCACTATATCAGACGTATCCCTTCGGTATATTCCTACATACAATCTAAATAACGTCTGTTCTATACCTTCACATCTGATTCCATCCGTCATCCTTCTAGACTCCCAATAAAAACAAATAACACAATAATACACTTCCATTATTGTTGGACAGCTTGACAACGACTACTCGGAGCCGGCCGTTATTACGTATGAATGTTTAACAAACTGTATTCGATTCGTTCAGGAATCTGGCGACACATGGCCAAGGGTTAAAACCCAGAGGGAAACTCAACGAGAATAAATTATGATCCATTTCGTACCACAGTCATGGATCCAAAGTGGGGGCACAGGGGGCCCGGCCCCCCACCCCCGGCAAATAAAATGAATGCAAAACCCCCGCCCCCACTCAGTGTTATTAGGGTACGCATATGCGTGTTCCCAGCGACCCCCCCCCCCTTTTTCAGCAAAAGTCCGGTGTGTAAAGTCAATACGGGTAGACCTTTTTCTTTTGTTACAATTAGCCGGAAGTTTGGGAACACGCATGGTATCCCTCCGTTCACGGAGTGGGGGGGGGGGGGACAAAACAACCGCCATTTTACCTTTAAAACAGGAAAGAAGACGGGCCCCCAACCCTGGCAAAAAAGAAGAAGGTAGCCACAATTTTTTTTAATTCTTACTAATGGAAGGGGGGGGGGTGAGTAAAACAAAAATGCTCACTACCCCCCCCCCCCCCCGGTTATTCGCCGCTAAATATTTTCTCACGAATTAGACACCCACCCTCGCCGCCGGCTGGATCCGCCCCTGTCGTACCATAGCATAACACATCGCACTTTCTTTGCAAATAAATGTTGTCTTGTTGAAAGCGTTAGCTAGTATACAAATAATGAATGGTTATGAGTTCAATAGTGCGAATATTTTCATGAGTTGAAAGATTAACATTCTATTCAACGAGGCGTCAGCCGAGTTGAATAGAATTAATGTTAATCTTTCAACGAATGAAAATATTCGCACCATTGAACGAATGAAAAACATTCATTATTTGTTTTATACGACATCGAAGAAGATCTAATAGAACGTTAATCAACAAATTATGCTTTACTCCTTATATTAAAAATAAATTCAAGTTGGATTCAAGCCTTCTCGATTACATTCAGATTGCCTTCGCGTCAGATACACGCAGTGATACGCGCGCGCACGGCAGAGAGGTACGCAGTCTGCATATAACCAAAAATGCACGGCGCATATAACCAAAAATGCACGACCGTGCAATATACCATCTATTGAATATCATGTGACCAACAATCCTCCAATCAAATGACAGGGATCCACGTAGGTGTTGTATAAAACGAATTAATTGATGACTAATAGAACGATTCAAAGACCACGCCTCGCTCGATATTCCTTCCGCCTGGAAAACGGCCGGACTTAACATAACTATGCATTCACACAAACAACATTAATTGCATGCTATACATTGATCGAACCGCAGGCAAATAATGTTCTCTTTGTGTGTGCGTGTGTGTGTATATATGCATGTGTATTAACTCTCGTTTAAAAAAATACATTGATGAAATAACTTAGCTATATTAGTTGATGTTAAATAGTTTCTAAATATAACGTCCGTTACATGAGACCAAAACTCACAACTAACAACTAGTGGTTTTAGGGCCATGATATTTTCTGTATGATATCAAGATAAGGCTATTGCTCTCCGCCATATTTACACACGATTGATCAGATACTTTGGTATTGTGTGAGGCAACAGTGAAATAAGTTTCGCAATAATGCAATTTCCCGCCAACTATAGGTCCAACAAGTTCAATTCAATACAATGACAACAAGCCTTTGATAAAAAGAGTTCAGAATCTAACGACGATTCAGATTTATGTTTGTATCCAGATACTTTGGTATTGTGTGATGCAACAGTGACATAAGTTTCGCAATAATGCAATTTCCCGCCAACTATAGGTCCAACAAGTCACACCGGCCTGTTCAATTCAATACAATGACAGCAAGCCTTTGATAAAAAGAGTTCAGAATCTAACGATGATTCAGATTTATATGTTTGTATCCAATGTTCGGTTTGTGCACATTCCCCTTTTTATCTGGAGACATTCATGTACATAATAATAACTAAAGACAATAGGAATAATATTAATAACTACTAATAAAAGTACTTACATTGATCATATCCATGCTCAAGTCCCCAGTATCTTGAAATATTGGTTTCATGCTGACTTTTGTTGAGTTTCCTGCAATCTGCCTGTACATGTTTAACAAATGATTTCAGAAGCTCTCAAGTTTGAAGGGGCCCCAGTACCATCTCTCTCCGTGTGAACAAAAATATGACCGTATCGATGTATATTCACATTGCCTGATTCAGTAGTCCTGTATAGAAGGAAATCAGAGACGGAAACTTGTAATATAAACATATATTTTGTTTCAATCAAAAAAGGAAATAGTTTGGTTTTGTTAAAGATTTTGTTTAGGATTATTGTCTTGTTAGGCTTGCCAAAATATTTGTTTAATAACCAATTAGATAAGAGCCATTAAAAATGCAAGCAAATTTACATTTTCTTCTCACTTCAGGCCTTTCCAGCACATTCTATATTTCTACACGAAGTAAAAAGGAAGTTTATGACTTCTTAAAGGTACTATGTCCCATTTGCAGGCCCCCAAAATGAGAAGGTTAAATTCCAACGGCATTTGAAAGATAATTCTAATTTAGAACTTCCCTAAGAAAGGTGGGGCTTGAAAATGTCTTCAAGTGGGAAAATAACGACTATTAGTTGTCGAATCAACTTAGGAGCTATAGAGCCAATAAGTAATAGTCTTGATTTTCAGACCATTGTACCGAATGGTCATACGTTTTATGCTGCGCAAAGATTTAATCAGTTTGATTTTGGCCATCACAAGAAGTGGGTTATTGATGTAGACAAATGCTCATGTACCCTTTACAGTTCATTTTATGTATGTTGTTACCAAAGAAGAAAAAAGCCAGTCAGTCACTCAATAGTGTCTGACAGTGAAGTCTAGCCAGTAAACGGGTTTCCTTGCATAATTTGAATATTAGGACACTGCTAACGTTGAAATTTCACAGATAGGACATACATGACATATTCATAATTCCTGCAAAGTTCTACAGAATTTAAGTTTGGCTGCAAAAGGGACATAGTACCTTTAAAGTGAATCGATAACATTGTCGAAGGTTGATGGCAATTTTGGTAGGAAATGTTACTCATTATATTCCTTTTACTGTACTTAACTAAGACATAAAACAGGCTTTAAAAATCTTTCAACACTTAAATGTATAGAGTGGTATATAGAGCCAATTCATATTGCTTTGTGACGATTTACATTCACCTAAAATTTAATTAAATTATAATAATATAGCTAGGAGAATTAAGGAATCGATCAGATGAGTTTTTCCAAATTTATATCATTGATAATGGTCTGTTTTCACTCAAACTTTCAGATTATCTTTATTAATTGTACATCTAGCATTGAAGTCACTACCTTAGCACCATTTTCTCCCATCATAAAACAATGTTACCAAGTCCAATTTAAGTCCTATTACAATCATCAGCTAATGAGGAGGGCTTTTCACAAATCTATATAAACACTTATTTCCGTCGTGCAGAGTATCTTTTCCTAATTTTCTGTAATCTAATTAGTTAAATACATGTGGATAATTAAACAAGGGTTATTTCATATTTGATATTTGCCCACTTTTACACCTCAGTTTTTAGGGCTAGACATTAAAAGATATTTAGAGAAAAATTACCCGAACCGAGCACAAAGTTCAATTTATACTTGTAGGAAACACTCGCGAAGGGCCTTTTTTCATTTGTAACCCCAGTATTTTTAGTGTAAGCGTTTGTTTCATTATTTGAAAAATAAGTTAGTGGGTCACCGCGTCATCTAATTATCTAAAGGGCAACGTTATACGCGTTTCAGGATCGTTATCAGATTGCTTTAAATTCATACTATTTTTTTTTGACAATGACGCTTTCTTTTATAATCGTCTGTTAATTTTGTTTGCAGGTGATACACTACTAAAAAGAATATGGCCATGCTCTTGAAAGTACTGTATGGAGTATTTGTCCTTGCTGTCTTCTTGCCGATCAGCTTATCCGCAGTGGAGAACTGTCGTCCTTGTGGACCTGGGGAATACTGCAGCAACTTCTTTGGCATTTGTTTGGCATGCAAAGACTACTGCCCCGGAGATACTGATTGCCCCAGTGCATGTATCCCGATAAGTAAGTTTGAAATAAGCTTTTGATATGGACTCGGTAAAAGGGGCATTAATGCGATGGATATGATATATTTCCTCAGACAATGTCTCGATCATACGTGTATGTCATCAGTCATAATTATATGTCATGGGAAAGAGAAACTTACTTCCTTTCTCTCTTCTCATTCTTCTTCTGACTTCCATTCTTTACCTTCTCTTCCTATTTCTTGTTTTCGTATATCCATCATCCATATTTATTTCATTGTTTTTGGCTGTATACTTTGCTCTTTTTTTTTTACCTTATTATAAATGACACTGTGTCAAAATTACTTTTAGGAACTTAAATTCTACAAGCTATATGCTTTTCACTAAGTTCCCTTTTTTCACATGTAATTTTGAAATTATTTAGTGTAAATGCAATACAAACTTGTGCTGTGTAGATGTCTTCATTGTTCACGAATATCAATCTCTATGTTTTGTTAATAATAATAATAATAATAATAATAATATGACAAATTTATATAGCGCTTGTGACAAAAGTTTCAAAGCGCTGTACATGTACACAAATCAAAATTACTTCAAACAAAATCGATATTACTAATGGAATTAACATTACTCAAATTACCAAGAAAACAAAATATTACCTACATAACTTAACTAATTATCATTACTTATATTAACAAGAAAATCAAATAATGTATTGTTTTTTTTCTTCATGTGAAATAAAATAAAAAGAAACTAAAACTTAAAAAAAAAAAATATTTTTTAATACACTAAATCTTACTTTTTGATATATTTTATTACATTATATTACATTACAAATGACTCTAACAAAGCACAACATTCAACAGGATATTGATGAATGCACTTTACATCAAGAAATTAATGAAAACAGACCACAACAACAAAATCAACATTCAGTTACAAAAGGTTCAACAAAGGTGGAAGTACGGACGAAATACTGGTGGGTGTTCAAGATTTCTATGATACAAATTGGGATAAAAATAAAAAGAGTTTACCATTGTGTATTTTGTTCAAAATGCTGTCATTCTCATACATTGTGATGGTATAGACAAACCGAATTTGTTCTTTTTATGCAGAAAAAACCTGTGACATTTCCATTCATTTTCTTTTAACCATGCAGAGCCGAACTTTACAACGATTGCATCAACGACAACAGGGCCTACTTCAACCCAAAGTGACACCACCTCTATGGCTTCTGCTGTGGTAGTTCAACAATCCACCAACGCAAATATACCATCTGGAGGAGACAACACGTTGTTAGACAACAACAAAGGGCATTTGGTGCTGTCATTCTCCATTCTGTCCTTTACTGTGTTCATTGTCTTTCTCGGCTTATGTCTAAGGTATCGTAAAAACATGAAGATGCCCAGCATATGCCGCTTCGAAAACTCCGAAAACGGAACAGAGATCGAGCTAGAAGAAAGACCCAGGAGTAACGGCTGTAACAAAACACCTGATGGATATACCACTGTTAACGCTGACGATCATGATATCACAATCCAACCAGGACCCTCCCAACCAGACTCTTCTAGACCTTCTAGACTTCCTGGGCCTAATGCCGAAGCTGCAGCTCCTGCTGACCCTACACGTTCTGCATCTGGCCCTCGTAACAATACATCGTCTGCATCAACGACACCAGGGCCTACATCGATCCCAACCCACACCCCCTCTCAGTCCATGACTACTTCGACATCCTCTAGGGCTTCTGGTGTGGTAGTCCAGTCAGCAAGCGTACACTCAAACAAAAATCCTCTGGAATCTGAGATACGCCAAGGAGCTCGTCCATCTGATCGACGATCCTCCCTAAAGAGGACTCCAGAAACTCACAGGAAAATAACCGGTAAGTACGTGAAATATGTTGAAATTCAGTATTAACGAATTCCAATGTATGAAGTCATTTTGTCTCTAAACTTTTAGTTAAACAATATAGAACACAATATACCAATTTTAAATGTACAGTCCTTATGGATGATTCAAAGAACATGTTTTAAATATTTCACACAAAAAATGAAATTTGTTCAATCAGCACACAAACAAAAATCAAGACAAAACTTTTAGGATTGGAATGACCACTGCTCACACACTGACTAGATATCGCATAGTCTGCATATGGGCGAAATCTACTCCAACATTTCAGATTACATTGGACCGCATTCTATTGAAATATTAAACCCGGCTTTTGTTCCCCTTCGGATATATCTAAAGGAAGTTAGTCTGAGGTATGAATCTTTCTTTTGTTAAACGTGATCCTAGACCTATACGGTCGGGATTAACAGAAGTAGTATAGAATACGGAACATAACTGCGTTTTGTCTGTTATATTGAGTGGAGATTCTGTTTATACTACTTATCCCTGCATTGAGTTCTTTTCAGATCATCAAATAAGGGATGATCGAACTGATTTGATTCTTATATATTTTCTCGTTTTCAGACGGAAGTAATGAGGGCCATGAAGTTTCCACTGGGGCCTCTTCTTTCAACCCGCCAAATGGCACGTGTGAAGACATCCGGTGGGAACGCCATTCTGGAGACGGGGACTGATGACGTTCTAAAGTACAGTCAAACCTGTCTATTAAGGGAAACGCAAAAAGTGGCCACTGTAAACAGGTGGCCGATTAAGACAGATTCTTCCCTTCCAGACGGAGACTTAAAGAGGTAGTCATCAAGACAAGTTTGACTGTAAAAAGTAACACATATAGAACGATAAGATCGTTCTTGCTGATACAGAAGACATACAGAAGACGCCGACAAGATGACGCCGCTGGTGAATGCTGATAACACGAAACAGTGCTCGAATAAACGAACAATACAGCAAATCAGGCTGTCACGGCTTCAGAACAGGTCAACGATTTTTGAAGATGGATTTCTGTGTATTAATCAATTTATGCTTATGTGTTCCAAATTAGGGGTGTGTGACACAAGACATGCTGTAAGGGATGCATTGTGTGTACCCAAATTTAGGACGGACACTTATAAAAATAGTCCTCTAATTTCTGGAATTAGAGTATGGAACCAACTTAAAAGTCCTGTCAAAATGTCACCTACTTTGAACAGTTTTAAACACGCTCTAAAAGCCCTGTTATCTGTAGATGACGTGTAAGTGAAATTTTGGTGGTTTCGTGCAAAGGTAACCATTTTTTTCCTATTTGGAAAATTATGAAATTTGGTTGACATGGTTATCGTTATATCATGTATTCATACATGTTGAATTGAATGTAAATATGTATATAACAATTTTGGTATCCCGTGCGTTAAGCTTTTTCAGATTATTAAATGAACGTTTTTAAAAATTGTATTTAATTTGAAAATTCCATTCACGTTTTTCATGTAAATGATCAAGGATGATTCTTGAATGATCAGTAATTTCAAGGGGATACCGATTAATTTGTATGTTACTTGTTCATATGCTTGTGTATTTATCTATTTTGTTTTTGATGCTGTTATTTGTTTTTATTATTACCAAACAGGGCCTCATGGAAGATCACCAAATTGGTGATATGTGCCACCCTGTATAAATATCTGAAATAAATAAATAAATAAATAAATATTGTTCTTAACATGTTTAGGTGAAGGTCTTGGTCTTTCTGTTAGAATAGAACTCAAGCGTCCCCCTATTAAAATGAATGAACTTGGCCATTGATCAACCCTTTATATTAGCATTATATCGTCTACATAATCAGAATGAAGTAGTCGAAACTAGCATTTATTATGTTATGACAATGTTGATTCCTTCTAACATCCTTTTTGTTGAACATTTCGTCAGAACATAATGGAAACTAGCAGGCGCGTACGCAGGATTTTTTCAAGGGGGGTGTTTTAACATTGATTAATCGGGCCGAAAATTTCGCAACGACTCAGCCGCTGAATAAGCGGGGGGGGGGGGGGGGGGGGGGGTAAGAGGACATTTTTTTTTTTTGGACTCGAAATTTGAAAATTTGACATTTTGCTCCGTTGGGGGGGGGGTAAGGTCAGCTTTTTTATTTATTTATTTATTTTTTAATAGAAAAAAAAAAAAAAAAAAAAGGGGGGGGTTTAGGGGGGTTAGGGGGGTTATGGGGGGGGGGGGGTTTACACACACAAAAATACCAAAGGGGGGGGGGGGGTTTATCCCCCCAACCCCCCCCCCCCCCCCCTGTGTACGCGCCTGGAAACTAGTCACTTATACTTGTACACTACGCGAACCACGATTATTGTTCCTCATTTGACAGTTCTCATGGAGCTGAAGTATGAATTGAAAGAACATAGAGAATGTGGCATATCCTAAGGATCTACAACAATGTGCCTTCATACAATGATATAATTATGATATAAACATAGTCAGGGGAGTGTCTTAATAAAAGGAACACATGTTTTCTATGTTTAATTTGTTTTCAAAACGTAATGTAAAACAGCCTCTGAGGAACTAACACTTCTAGTTAGTTCCTCTTTTCTCGCGCATTACCTTTTTGTTTGTCATGGTTCATTATATATTTTGTTGTTATATACTTATATGAAATTGAAAATAATATTGGAATTTTATAGTATTATGTTTTGCATAAGAAATAACATACTTTGAATTTGAATCTTTGAATCTTGAATCTTTCCTTTTTTTTTGTTGTTGATAATTCAAGCCTTGAAATATATGTGTATCATTAATTGATGTAGAACTCAACCATTTTACGTTGTAAGTGCAATCCAAAACATCTTCTTCAAGCAGACTGTACACAGCATCAGTAAAATTGGGAAGCTAGCAAACTGTAAACAAACTTCTATCAATAAAGATTTCAAGAATATACATAGATATTGGAATGTGTATTATGCGCGCTATAAGGGCAAATCTATAATACAAGGGCAAATCTATAATACAAGGACAACATAAGTAAAACATTGTAGAAATAGTACAAAATACACCAAACGAACAGTATAATAATTTTATCACGAGAAGGTAGCTATATTTTTTCTCCTTGCCATCATGTACAGGCAAGACAGCCAACACGAAATAAACTATTGCAACGTTACAATGACATAAATGTAGATTTAAATGCAGTACACAATGAACGTTATTTGCTTTCTGTTTCAACTGAATTATTCCCCTCGTGTGCTACTACGTTTCCTTTTCCCTCTATTTCTCTGTCTACATTCTTTTCCAATATCTCCTTCTATTCCCTCTTTTTTCCTCTCTCTCTCTCTCCCTCTCTCTCTCTCCTTGTTTCTCTCTCTATCCCTTTGAACAACGTTATCATGACAATGGCATATATTTAACATTGCAGTACAGCGTCATGGAAAACTACTGCTCTTTTTTTCTGTTTCAACTTAATCTCTCATTGTGTTAAGTTTCTCTCCACTAATTCTCTGTCTATCCATCTGCTCTCTCTCTCGCTCTCTCTCTCCCCTCTCCCTCTCTCTCTCCCTTCCTCTCCATTTCCCCCCTACTCTCTCTCTCTCCATCTCTCCCTTCCTCTCTCTCTCTCTCTCTCTCTCCTTGTATCCTTTCCCTTTGAACAACGTTATCATGACAATGGCATATATTTAACAATGCAGTACAGCGTGATGGAAAATTACTACATGCTTTTTGTTCCTGTTTCAACTTTTTCTTTCAATGTGTTAAGTTTCCGTCCACTATTTCTTTGTCTCTCTCTCTCTCTCTCTTTTTCTGTGTCTCTACCTTTGAACAATGATATCATGACAATGACATCGATTTTAACATGTATTACAACTTCATGGGAAATTACTACTTTTTCTTTTTTCTGTTTTAACGTATTCTTTCATTGTGTTAGGCCTAAGTTTCTCTCCACTATTTCTCTGTCTATCCCTCTGCTCTCTCTCTCTCTCTCCCCCTCTCTCTCTCTCTCTATATATATAGCTCTCTATCCTCCCACTTCTCTCTCTTTCTTTCTCTAACCCTCTCTCTCTCTCTCTCCCTCCCTCCCTCCCCTCTCTTTCTCATCTCTCTCTCTCTAATATCTGCCCTGCATATTAAACCACAAAAGTCCGTTAGGTTCATCAGGATCATGTATATTCTTCATTTGTTAGCAAATTGAGATATCATGGTATTTACATGGTTATCGGTCCATGAATAGACAAGCATTCATTCATACAAAAGAGAGAATTGTAGATAGCATATTTTTAGTTTAAAAAAAATGAAACCTTCATGCATTATCATGAAGAATATACATGTATACATAAAAAGTGCAAGTGAGATCAGTTGTCATGTATCATTAATACAGTGTATGGGTACTATTATTATTATTTTCTGTGTTTCGATTCATTAATTGAAAGTAAGGAGAGAGAGAGAGAGAGAGAGTAGCAGTTTATATGATCATTTAGATAAAATAGTTGTTGTCGTTAATATCTTTAAAAAATCTTGTTCATCATCTTGCTAAATCAAAACTGAAAGCGTTAATACTTAACATGATCGCAAAGACTTTGAAACATCAAATAAATAAAAGAAGGACATTCAAATACCCTTCTCCATCCCATATTGTCATGACTTGTGCGAATTATTGTAGAGACGTTCAACTTATCTGAACATGCCATTCTATGGGAGATGCAATAGGGCTTTGACATTGTCCATGAGTTGATTCATCAAAGGCCTTTGAGATCGTGTTACTAGCGGTCTGACAATACAAAGAATGACACGCTGAGATTTTTCACTACTTTGTGTGTGTGTGTGTATTGGGTTTTTACAGACGTGTATCAATCAGATATGATTATTTACGTCTGGGACCGACCTTTAAACGTCACCATCCGAAAGACGTGACTCAGTTTCGAACCTGCGTCCTCGGCTGAATCAGTTTGTAACTTCCACTTTTTAGCTGGATTACAGGCGCACGCCACAACGCCTACTTCCGCTTCGGACCCTCAGCTTATTTCCAGACTTTTATTTTTTTTTATTTTACTGCAATAAAAGTGAAGAGCCAAAAATATATCCTATGATTTCCATCCACTTACACTATACGCATAACGAATTAGGTATCTGATGTGATGTCTAAAAGGAATCTGCTTAATAAACTGGACCACCACCTAACATATATATATATATATGGTTGTTGCTTTTTTACTCCCTTTGAGGAAGGAGGATTACAATCAGAAATATGTTGAAACGAATCCAAGTTTCACAAACGACGTGTCAATTTCGTAATGACTGAATGAATTTCAAACAAAAATCACTTTTGTTACTATGCACAACGATGAGCTCGAACAAAAGAGCGTTTTGTTTCGATGATTTTAGTCTCATGCATCGAATAGTTTAACACATAGAAACGCCATATGAGATCAAAATGGATGTAGGAACAACACTGGTATTAATATTTGTTCTCACGCTGGCCCTCGTGACGGCCCTGCCTAGAAACGACCAGGAAAGCGATATCGGTGTGTGTGGAAACACGTGCAAGGTGAATGAATTCTGTGATGAATCCCAAGAAATCTGTCTAGATTGCTCTGTGTGTGTCACTTCCGGGTATTGCGCAAAACAAGACTGCAATGGTAACTATGATGAGCTTTCATTTAGTTAATTTGTATATAACTATTGTGCATTTGTTAACAATATAGTCACTTCGGGTATCAACATTTTGGTGCTCTCTTTTCAAACCTTCTTTTAATATTTGGATTTGGGAATATGATCTTAAAGTTTCAGGGATTCAAGCCTTTTAAAGTATACAATTCATATAAGTTATTGCATGAAATATGTGAGAAAGAATGCGAGAGAGATTGAAGTGAGAAGGATTTGTATGTTGAATGACGTCTCTGTCTTTCACTAAGGCTGTTCGTCTCTTCTTTTTCTTCTCTTTTCCTGCCGCCCTTTGTTGTTGATTGTGGGTAGAAATTTAGTTTGCTACAATTCCTTTTACCATCATATTGCTTCATAGATTTGTCCCACCGAATCAATGAATGTGCTCCTTCCCCTCTTATGAATGTACCAGACATAAATCAGGGACATCTCCCCACCCCTACCACCACCACCACCGTGACTTGATTTACCCTAGCCCTTGTTCAACCAGGAGATCACACAATGATTCATATTGAATTCAGTTCAGAACAAAGATTCATTCAAATACTCATTCCTTCCGAGTTCCGATAACATTTTATAGACTGGAACTATTTACCATCATTCATAGTTAACATTCAAGATCCCAACGTATTCAAGGCTGATGTGCAATATCATTTTTAATATCATTATTGCATTATTTTAGTACGACTCGTTTTACTCCTTTAGGAGTGTCTAGCCGTATTCCTTCTGATTCTGGGCCCTGCATGGTTCATAAAAACCTTTTTATCAATGACAAATCAGAGTAATTATTATGAGCGATTGAAATCATTGCATTTGGTATAGAAATGTGAAAATGATATTGATGAAAAGTTTGATGAAACAGTGCCCAGATTTAGATAAACCAAACCAACTCTTGACCACAGGAGGAAACAATACCAATGCAACAACCAATGCGCTACATCAAACAACAAAGGCCCCTGAGATGTCTCAGCCAGGATCGCCATTCATCCACCAGTCCTCTCGCCCCACCGTCGACGACAAAGATGACGACGGCGACATGAAGTCATCAAAAAATGAGAGTAGAGAGAATGGGGATACTAAAAGGAACATGTTCCTAACCTCGACCATCGCCATATGTGGAGGGTTCGCGGTGGCTTGTGTTGGGGTCTACATGTACTTATTTCATCCACTGGGACTCCGTTCTCAGGAGATCACGAAAGAGAGGGACCAGATGGCAGGGATATATTTAGAAGAAATATACCGAAGAGGTAAAATATCCCACAAACATATAGGCATGAGGCAGGGATAGGGGACTGCAACTCTCTTCCCCGAGCCTAACAACACGCCTCGATTAAAAAATAAATCATGCCAATATTCGGGCAGTGAGATGGTCTACATTGCAATTCTTATATATTATCCAGTGTATTTGATGTCGAAGACATATTTTCTCTTCATTTAAAGGAAAGGGTCAACATTTTTAAATCGAGACAATTGAAAGTTTATTAAAGGGCACTTGCAAGAAACGTCAAACCCATGGCAAAATTGTACATGTACGTTTATGCTTATTTCATTTTTACAACCTGGTTGAAAAACGGAAAAAAATAAGTTATGATATATGCTACAATATTCATTGCTAAAATCAATCAAAAACAGTTTCCCCTGTATCACATTACATATCATGAACGCACTGAAAATGGAAGACACCTACCATCAGAAGTCGAGTTATTATGATTCGTTAAACTCTCTCCTATTTTCATATTCAATTCCTGATTTATCCGCTTCCACACAAGTCAACTCTTATGAAGGGTTAATCCCTTTTTTAAGAAATTAACTTTTCACAAATTTGAACCTGCTTTTTTATTTCATTACAATGTGTATTATTAAGATAACGTCCTCCCTATGATTTAACGTCAATCTTTCGAGAGACCTAAACAGACCCGCCTTGGTCATGTTGGTAAAAAGTTGCTTGACTTATATCCGACGCACTGAAAAAATTGTGGACGGAAATTCAGTAAAACACAGTTTTATCTTCTTCTATCAATTCTTATCACATCTTGTCCACTCATTAACCAAAGTAGTCATCTTTACATATTTTCTTTGCTTCTTTACCTTATATTTCTTTTTCTGTTTTCAAGACGTATCGACTTTTTATCCAATTTGTTTTTTTTCTTCTCTTCTCTCTAGGAAACAACAAAGCAACAGAAAAAGTTCCTTTACAATGAATCATGCAAATGGATGGCTGCACAAAGTCATAGGTGTGACATCACGTCGATATGCCCAAAGAAGCATGATCTCGTGTTGCATTGTCTTCACATTTTTAAAATATATACATATTCTTTTCTTTTTTTTGGGGGGGGGGGGGTCATGTTAATCCACTAGTGTGTTTTAAAGTAAGTTAAATGTGAACAATAGCGTCATAAAATCTTTTTTAAAAATGACCTCACTTCATGAGAGCTATATATGGAGGTACCATACCTAGTTACAACTAAGCAATGACATTGTGCAATAAGCCAGTTCACGGTTGCAGTCTGAGCATGAGCAGATAAAGGTCATTGCAGAACAAATTTTGAAATACACGGAGACGAAATACTGGATACGTGCTCATGAAAGTTATGTAACATTATTCATTCATGCACATTCAGTGCACTCCATTGTACACAGGTGGAAGTATTCTTTGAAAAGGGGGAACAAAGGCTATTTATAAAGCACCTCCATCGCTGTAGGAGTGATTATTTCAAAATGTACAAAGTGGGACCTCTTCATGTGTTGAAGATCTGTGGATATTCGGGGTCATTGCAGTAAGGTGCTAACCGTGTACTGGTCTATTACATCTGTATATCAAAAAGGGCCACGTACAAAATGCCCATAGTCAACACAAAACGCGACTATGTGGTTCAGATTCAAGCCCTCCTCACTCAACCACCTTTACACTTGGTTTCTCATGTACATAAATATACCTCCTGGCAACAATGACAATTATTTCAATAGATCCGCTACACCTTTTCCCCAAAGGATTTTTTTTTTTTTTACATGGGTTGCTCTACAGAACCCTGTAGCTTGCACGTGGCTATGTTTAATTACAGGGTACATACACTGATACACAAACATACACATAATATGAATGCAACTAGTAACTATTGAAATCATCGACTCATTACAACTAATGAATGCTTAGGTTACGCACACCCACGCACATAACTTACTAATCGCTTTGTTAATGCATTTTATATTACATGCATATGGATAAAGATGTCATATCGATTGAAGTGTTTTGTCCGAAAGTCTGTGGATATTTGCAGAACAGTCATGAAAAATCTTGTGTAAAATACTAATTTATGTCAGCACCTTTCAGAAATGTATTACATATTTAGAGAAAGGGTACACATTACAATTCATACCCATGATATTTATGACAAGAGCATTTAGAATAAATACAATCACTCCTACTGATTGTACTGCAAGAAGTATATCTCTATTAATGTTGTTGTTGTTGTTTTGGTTTATAGGCTTTAATCTTTCAGAAGTGAATATTTAAGAATATATAAGGAGACAGTCTGATCGAAGGTCCAGGATTTAAGACGGAAAAAGAGGGGAGGTTCACAACAAAACTGTCCATGTGCATAAGATGGGAGTTGCTCTAAAGTAGAGGGTGTGCGTTCATAGCATCACCCTATAGAACCACTTCTGCAGTCTAGATGGACGAATTACCTATAAAATAGCCATTATTTTTGTAGATATTCATGTTTTTACCCTTTCTTCTGTTGATAGCTATATTGGCCGATAAGAAAGCTATTGTGTTGTGTTTGTGTGCTGTTGACATGTCTTGTAATATGTTTATATTAAAAGTAACCTTAGTTAATAGTTTAGTGTGATGTATAATAAGTAGTTTTATATACTTCGTGGCAATATATTTACAAATCATTCAATTCTTACAGAATTGTTCAATTCTTTGTAACATTATTATATAGGGTGTATTGCTCTGTGCTGTGGAGATTACTAGAAGAAAAAGAAGAAGAAGGAGAAGAAGAAATGGTTTTGATGATTGATTAAACTTTCCCTTGTACTCCTTGTAATTATGTAAATTGCGGCTTAATTGAAATTTGAGACTTTAGGAAAGATTGATGAAAGCTAAAGTTTTTGAAAAGGCCTCCAAGAAATCCCAAGGTTCATGCATGCTTTTGACCTTGCAGCCGCCATACGTTTGCACGTAAAACAGGTTCTTTGAGATTGATTATAATTTTAAATTTTGTAAAATGTGAGTCACATAAGATTTCAAGACTTTAAAACGTTTTATTGAGGCTCAATGAGTTCAATAGACCCCGCATAAATCCCAGGTAATATGTATGCTTTTGACCAAAACGTTTGGTTTTTCTTTATGACGGAATGTTAGCCTGTACATAGCATAATACCACTATGTTCGCGTACTTATTTTCTGGATCAGCCACTCTTTGATCTACGTAAACTGACGCACCCTTTTTCTAATTCTATTGGTATTTTTTTTAAACGTCTGATATTGCCACCAAACACTATACAAATACCAGTCCCATTGGTATCTTGATACAACGCAAAAAATCCCCAAACTACTACTGCATTGCGAAATGCCTCTCTGTAAATTCCCGATTAGGCAATGTTATATGGTCTGATATTCATATAGACCATTGCGTAAGGATCTTAAAATAAAACAACTTACTTTTCACAGATGAATAAATGATGGGGTGACCTTGCGATTGTTCCATTCACGAGATCGTTTACCACGCTAGAGCAATGATTCCAGGAAACGTTGTGGTAGCCAGCATCATGTTATAGGCATCATATAGGTTACATAGGTTACATGTACATGTAAGTTACCCGCACTGAGCAAGCTGTTGACATGGAATTCGGAACTTGAACGAGCTCAGAATATACCCGTTAAAGGGGCGATGTGTTATACACGATACCACGAGCAATGGTCTTTTGCACGACAAGATGGGTGTAATCATTTTTGTTGGTTGTCAGATTTGAAATTTATTTTGTACAATAAAGAAATACATCTTGGCTTCAATTGCTGATGCAGTGTTTATGGAGCTTTTTCATTGCTGTTTATTAAAGGTTGTTGAGTTGGTATATATATATATATATATGTAGATATTTTTCTCATGTTGTAATTTTATAGTTTAGAGTTCGGAAAAAAACTTGCTCAAATGTTATACAAAAAAGGGAGAAAATGGTAATCAACTTTTGCGATTTACCAACACGACTGGAAAAAAGGGCCGAATTGACCGATGAAAAAAAAAATAATTGGGATACATTGAGATGACACAATAAAATTGTTTAAAGTCTATTCCAAATTCAATCTGCCTAAATTGCACTTTATGAAATATCTACATTTGATTGATATAAAAAATGAAGATAATCACATTTGCATCACATAAACACTGAATATGTAAATGGTATGTAAATAATCGTATTGTAGATATGTTATTAGTTTATAAGACCCTAAGCTGCTGGTCACTATTTATGTACCAACAAAAAAAATAAATAAATAAATGACTAACAGGGGAACAACGAATTGAGTATGGATAATGTTTCGAACTGAATGTATAATGTATACTATGATGCATTACTTTGGTCTTGCAAGCCCTTAAAAACTTATCTCAAAATCGATCTGTAGCAGCAAGAATTAATATGTGCAAAAATTTCATATTTAAAACTCCGTGTTTTCTCTCTAAGATTGAATATTTTAACGGCTCATTTTGGACACAACAAATGCGGTGAATAAAACACTGTCAGTTGCGAAATTCAAATTTTAAAATAAACATGACCGCAATTTCATTAAATTTTTTGCCACCATACTTTTCAGGACAGTTTTCAATTAAGTTTATTTTACAACATGTTGGCCATTTTACAAGTTTTTATATTCCTACCGTGTAAATCCCTGCAACGCCCTTTAACCATTTGTTCATGACACGACCCGTGGTAATGGCCTACGTACGTGTGTAGTCTAGATACATTGGATGATTCGGAATAATAGCGCGCAAGTGAACAAAGAATATCGAATATCTGAATAAACAACCTGTAGTAAAAGAGTGCATACCTGCTGAGATCAAAGGTCATGACCGGAGGCGGCGCACCCGGGGAGGGGCGGGGCGGCACATTGCCCCCCCCCCCCGCCCAATTTTCAAGTACATCAAAAGTGCTCTTTTTTTACTTAACATAAGTGGCCCCTTTTCTTCTTAACCATATACCCCTTCCCCTCTTTTAAGTGCCCCTTTTCCTTTAGTATTAAGTGCATTTCTCCTTTCTTTTAACTGCCCCTTTTTCGTCTCTGACGAGTGCTCATTTTCACATTCTCATATGTGTCCCTTTTCCTTTAATAATTAGTGCCATTGCCCTTTCTTTTAAGTGACTTTTTTCACCTCTGACCTGTGCCCCTTGCAGGTATGAGAAGTGCCTCTTTTCATTTGATAATTGCCATTTTTCCTGTAATGTTGTGATAAATAAGTGTCCGTTTTTCACTTCTCGGATAATTATGCACCTATCTAAATCTGATAGTTGACAAGTGCAATAAATGCGTATTTTTCCTTTGGACTGGACATTAGTGTCTATTCTTATTTCTCCTTTAAGTGTCCCCTTTTGGCCTCTGACGAGTGCTCCTTGTCAGGTACAAGAAATGGCCCTTTTCTCCTCAGATTACTGCTTCTCTTTAAGTTTAAAGTGCCCATTTTCACCTGTTAAAGAAGCCTTTTTTTAAAAAGTTGACACCTATCTTTTTTTCTTTTTTAATAAGTACCCATTCCCAGTTGCTTCACCACTTATAGATGCTCCTTTTCCGATTCTGATACGTGCCAATTTCAAATATGAAATCTTTCCTTTATCAAAAATGTCCTTTTTCATTCAAATAATTGGCTTTTGATGAGTGCCCCTTTTTACCTCCATTTCCCACATTCGCTTACAAACCATATCCAGGTAAAGAATCGGAGCAACATTGTGATTGTAACAGGTACCCTATTTCTACCACCACTATGAAAGGCAGTATCCCGGGGGGCAAAGGGCCCAATGCCATACATTTTAAACAAACCAACTATACGCCCATTTTTGGAATATAACCGCGCTCTTTCCAGGGCTATCCCTTAAGTCATTTCAATTATATAATTATTGCTATGGCACATTCTACTAAACTGCTGAAAAGGGCATTTTCCAACCTTCAAATCTTCCTTTAACCCTAATAAGACAGGGGGCCATAAGGTCCCCCCCCCCCGTCGATTTTTTGCCGCTGCATCAAAACCCTGAACCTTTGGCGCTGCAATTTCATGAGTTTTTTCCCCTCACGTCTCCCGCACATTTTTATACCAAATTTATTATGGGCGGACCTATGGTTCGGGTGTTAGGTGACAAAATATTATCACATGTTCATCAAAATATGTAATTCTCACAAATGTGAGTGTGTAAGTATATTCCCCCCCCCCCAAAAAAAAAAAAAAAAATATATATATATATATATATATATATATATGTATTCTTGCCTGACTGCACATGAGTGTTTTTAACTTCGCCATGATTGTATTATGTATTTAGTTACTAATGAGCCTTCTGGCGAAACAGTCTGTATAACTCGTACCAATAAAGTGTAACCTTCCAACTCCTATATCTACATTTGCTCCTACAGTTGAGCACTGTCAGAAATTGCAGTTTCACTTAACTTGCTTATATATATATATATATATATATATATATATATATATAATAATAATAATAATTGCATATTGTCATAAAAAATATTAATACAAAATAAATAAATAAACATAAAAGAAAATAAACATTACCATCTTATTCAATATACTTCAATCTATTACCATTATAATGTTCAAATTAATTGGAACTTCCTAGGCCGAGATCTAAGGGGGAGGGGCATAATGGCCGTATTAAGACCTCAAATAATCCGGCCTTTTTAGGGTTAAAACCTCATGCCCAAGGTATTCAATTGACCTTTGCTCAATAACTAGGTTTAACAAAGAAGAGTTTTCAAACTCGAGGCCACTGTATTTGAATTACCAAATATCATTTATGTTATTAAAAAAGGAGACATAATAACCATATACTATGAAAAGCAGTAGAAGTATCATTGCTTCCCTAACATGCCTCTCATTTAAAGCGACTGAGTGCATTTTTGTTTCTCGAATAAAAGAAATAAAAAACCCTCTATCGCTAGGATATTTACATCATTATCATTATTAAAATTATTATTATTTTAATCGTCATTGTTGTTGTTCTTCTTCTTGTCGTTCTTGTTCCTTTTATTCTCTCCCTGACTTCACGCTCCTCTTAGTTTTGTAAGGGAGAAAATATACGTGAGTTCAAAAATTTACGTTATAAATTCTTATATTCCATTTTTTAAAGCTTTTAATATTAATTCTTGTCTTTAATTTAACTCCCCTTGATATATTACGCAACGTATACAAAAAAAGTCCCTTGGATCAAGGCCAACAAATCCAAAATAGTCAACCACCTACCCACAAAAAGTATTATTTCCTATCTATTGTTGAAGATAAAAGGTGTAAATAAAAGCAAGATATGGTATTCGGGTGGGGCAAGTGATGAGTCATTAGTGGTAAATTCCATCGCGTAATGGGGGATTCCCCCTGAAGTCACTGTCCGTGTCTAAAGCGGCTAGAGGGATCGTAGCAAATCATTTCACGAAAAGACCTTGCCCGAGAAGGAACTTTTTAAAAACGGCTCTACTGTCGGCTCTACCTTATCGGGGATTTCAATTTGTGGTGTTGTTCAAATGCAGATTGTGTATACTTTATACTACAGGTTCTATTTTTCAAGAGTGAGCTAATCGTAAACTTATCATTTGGGTAAGTAAATTCTATATTAATTTCAAACAATATTTCCTTCGACATGTACTTTTCTGATACACCCAAACATAAACCCACTCACACACACACACACACACACGCACATAACTAACATCGAAACTTATCCAAATGAAACGGTATGTAAGACCTTTTAAAATTTGGAGTGGACTATTAGGTTATTATTATTATTATTATTATTAATTGATAATTATAAGTAAAGCTCACTTGTGCTTTTAAAGAAAAATGTACAAAACCATTCAGGGCAAATGATTTACATTTGGTGCGGTACATTTTTAAATAAAAGTGCAAACAATTTAACTGGAAATAATACTGATACCATCAGTAAAGTGTGAACCAGTGCCATTGATTGGGAGAGTTTGCCCAACCCGCTTCGAGTTGGGCAAAACAATGGTGAACTCTGCTTTGTTGGGCAAGCACAAAACAAAAGAATACCATGTATACGCCATGTTGAGTCCCACTGAAACCAAATTGTCAAAACTCGATGTATAGGTGGCTCCAATGGGAACTATAATCTGACCCCTTTACAGTTGCAAGTCTGTCTCTATACGATATTTACATTAAAAGATATTTATTTGCCAGTGGTATAAAAATGTATTGAAAGTATCCGCGGGTGGCCCGATGGGGGCGATTTTTTTTAAACGTTTGGTTTTTAGCAATTCAAATCAAGAGGTTGGCTTGGGATCTTAATAAAATAATAAGACACCTTGTCATGAGTATTATACACAAGTCCATGGCATCATACATAATGCATTCCAAATTCAGTACCTTTTATATAAAATCATCTTAAACCTTTTTCATTTATTCAGAACACGGATAATTAAGCATGCGGGAAATAACGACGCCCATCGGGCTTATTGTTATGCTATGGTGTTCGCAATCTAGAGCAGGATCAAATGATCAATGCCTGGGCAAGTGTGACCCGTACGAAAACTACGATTGCAACCCATTCTTTGGGATTTGTGAGCCCTGTGTATCGGAAGATGACTCGCCAAAGTGTAAAGGTGAGTGTGATTGAACAACACCAAGCTTTCTCTGGTCGAAGGTGGAAGGGGGAGGACAAAAGTACAGTTATCTCAAAGTGCTTAAAAGTTGGAAAGGATCTCACATATTTACAAATCATCTCTGGCAAGCAAATAAAAAGCTAAGCAAAGCCAAACAAAAACGAACACTATGGGAAATATTTTTCTCGCTGCGGGAGATGGGGACCAGATATATATTTTTGGACGTTTCTACTTTGGCTAATGTTACAATGATGCAGTTTAGCCAAGGAGGCACGTACATAATTTTCCCACTTAATAATATTACTTATTTTAATAAGATTATACTCAGATGAATACTATTTCTTATTGGAGAATTAATTTATATTACTATTTTTATGCGACGTTAGTTTCTACATTGAAATTCTCTCCTTTCATCTACGTGATTATCATTATTTTTGTGGTCTTATCTCATGGAATTGTGTTTAAATTCTGAGCACAAGACAATAGTGATAACTTGTAACAAGGCATCATGGCCATCGTGCACACTTATCTGACATAATATGGAATATATATAATTGAATATAGATAAAAAAGAAACAATAACAGTAATTCTTGTGACATACACTAACAGAATATTTCGACAGCATGAGAAAGGAACCAACAAAAAGTACACCGCAAGAACCTACCGAAACCACTACGCAACAAATCAACGATACAGTCCTCCCAGAGCTCATGGCCGTAACGGAATCGAATCCTGACGAGACAGCGGAGATCCGTGACGGGGGACGAAACCATCTGGGTCAAAATGAACGGGGACGAAACCATCTTGACCAAAAAGACCAGCAAATTGATCTCAAAAAAGATGGAGGCGGCAAGGAGGAAAAACATACTAATGTCATCATCATAGTAGCCACTGCTTGCATGGTAACACTCTGCGTAGTAGGCACTGTCTTCCGATTGCATCGTCGGTACCGTTCACCTCCTGGACGAGGCACGACAACTGTGATGGAGTCTGGCGAGAACGAACTACTGGATGTAGTCGTCCATCCAATAAATGGTATGAAATGAGACTGGCATGTTAAATCGTGTTTCATATTGTGTTCTATTGTGTTGTGTAGTGTTGTTTTGTTTTGTTTTGTTCGAAATATATATATATATATAATATATTTGTTTATTTGATAATTTTGGTCTTAATTTTAGCATCAGTAGGCCTGTGGCTCTGCTTGGGACAGGATCTTTACGTATATCACGATTTCATTGTGTAAATTCAAGTTAATGTTTTATTTCAAACATAATTTTGTTATCGCTGCTTCGTAATAAATTTTCTCATTATTGAAAATCCTTTGTAAATAAAGAGGATCTGTTCATGATTAATTATTATTCAGTATTTTATGTGTGTTTATCGTAGTTTTATTCTTAATAATAAGCCATTCCAAACCTTATTATTGTTTCTCTTGTCTTTATTACACAGGAGCAGAACCCGAGGAAGAGACGACCCTGTAAAGATATCTGTCTTCCTCTCTGTTCCTTACTCTGACAGTATAGGTCTAAATTCTACATGCTACATTTCCCCAAAGATATGCAAGACAGTATTTAAGTGTATATAGAAACAGTATAAACAGTAAATCGTTCAACTGCTATTTTTTTTTTTTACAAATAATGCAGGAGCATTTAGTTCAGTTATAACTGATAACACATTGCTGGTAATTTTACTTTGAATTCAAGATTGTATATCTATATGATGTTTATTATGTTGGGGAATTATCCAGTGATGGTTCTAAAGTATGTGGGAGCACAGGGTGCACCCCCTTTGCCAAATTCGGATTGTATTTGATACTTGCTGTGCTCAGCCCCCCTTCTCACATTTCAATTCAAAATGTCCCTCGCTTAGATGAGAACTTCAAATTTGCTAGTCTGACATTTTTAAAGCAAATTACTTGCCCCCTCCCCCTCCCCAGAGTCAGGGAATCTTGGATCCGCCACTGATAACACAATTGGTTAATTTTCTAACTAGCTCTGCTAACCAAAATACTGTTGAAGCTACTGCAAGACTTACTGTTGTTATATTCAGTATTCACTAAACGCTCCACTTGCTCCTTTTATTTGCTCAAACAGTAGGCCTACGCTATTCTCACCAGCTACGATAGGCTCTCACCATGGCCATTCCAGGCACAACGGTTCCTTATAATATAGAAAATAAATAATTGTACAAAGTAATACTTACACCGGACTGCCTGCAAGAGTCGCTTCGACATAGCAACCAGAACATTTCAATATCGGATAAACCCACACTGCTATGATTTTAATAGGTCGAACATAGAACTAAACGACAACCGTTCATTATTTCGCGGTATCCTAGTAACCACGTGACCAATGGATGAGTCATAATGGGAGATTAATATCTTTGAATCAAAAATTCATGGATCGATGATCACTCGAAATATGACAGTCACGTGATACTTCTTTTGTCCATATTGTACGATCTGATCATGATATTTTTCGTGCGTCTGGCACTAATTTAGAGTGTAGTCTTATTAGTGCCTATACACAGACTGCTATAAATAACTTTCGAATTTGGTAAAGTGTAGACGTAAATAGGTTTAAAACTTGTTTTTAGGATACAGGGAGTACAGGGAATATTTTTATTCGATTTGATTTAATGTTTATTTATTTCGAATGTTCCATACATATCATCATCGCTGGTTTATAAAGACTCATGAATTTTGATGTATGTTTTTTTACTTGAATATATTATTTATATATCTGTATATATATTTTGTTTTAAATGTACTGTGACAATTATAGTGAATACAAAATGTATTAAAACAAAAATTGTTCCGAACTGCCGTGAATTTATCTGTAATGTAATTATATTGCAACAAGCAGGAGATAGGCCTACATAGAAAAGGAGAGAGAGAGAGACAGACAAAAATTGGAGAGAGAGAGAGAGAGAGAGAGGGGGGTGAGGGAGAGAGGTAGAAAGAGAAAGACGGGTGAGATAGATGGATGAGAGAGAGAGATATATATATATAGAGAGAGAGAAAGGTGAGAATGAGAGAGATGAGGGAGATAATGAGAGATAGAGAGAGAGAGAGAGAGACGGATGAGACAGACGGTGAGAGAGAGAGAGAGAGAGAAAGAGAAAGAGAGAGATCAAGGGAGAGAAGGGGGAGAGGGGGAACACGATAAAGACAAATCTTACTAAAAGTAAATGTAATCTTAATAAACTTTTCAAAATTTTGCAATATTACACATTTCAGTTGATGAAGATTGTCACACTTCTGAGCAATACACGCCATGTCATGTATACCAAGAATTTTCTACATTATATCATCATTTACAATATTCTTACTCAAAACGCCAAAATACATGAAAAAGGGTCGCTGGTAGCAAGAGTACGAAGTGATGTAAACGTAATGCGGATAACCAGGCTTGCTGCTGTGATTGGGCTTGAACACACGAAAACCGGGCGAAACTTCTTGACCACGACTTATTGAGCACCGAAGTGTGAAGTTTTCAAGGGTGCTAGTTTCACACAACAGGGACTTTTAGATTTGCACGTCGACAGCTTTGACTGCAACGTGTGACGTCATTTTAAGGCACTGCGCATGTGTCACGTCGTTTCAGTCGGCGATCGAGATTGCGTCAACCTTGATTTTCCTAAATCTGGTACGGTACTAGTATGCCGCGTGCGCATAAAATATACAGTTCCTCAGGTAGACAAAGGGACATCGATCCCTTCCCTGCTATTATTTAAAAATGTGTAGAACAGGTGTCACATGCATATTCACCTGTTCTACACATTTTTACATAATGATTAGCAGTGAAGGGGTGTTCTTTTGTCCTTCATGTTCATAGTGTTACTTCCTGCATGCATGTTTATCGTCGAGTGCAATCTAAGATTTCTAATTGTAGTCAACATGGGCAGTTGAGTACGTTGACACGCATGATCAGTCGGCGTTCGTCGTATTCTCGTCCACTCAATCTAAAAGTCCCTAATCTTGTGCTAGTGGTGAACACACCAGCGCCAAACATTGAATTCGCCCTTCTCCAGTCCGTTGCTTGAATGGTGTGGCGGTGAACCTTATGCGTAGGCTCTGTTGTTTGGAACCAGTAACCTGAACAACAAGCAATTATATGACGTTAGCACTTCGGCACCCACACATGAGAGTGGAACATACTGAAATTAGAATCATTATCAAAACAATTTGTATGTGAACACACCATGTGAACATTACATTTGTGTGAGAGATGTGACAGCCTTTCTTACGAAAATGTATTATTATGTATCTACACAGTGAATTAGAATTAAAATTGCGTAGAAAGAATTGCAAAAAAAAACAAAAATTCAGTGTTCAAGATCTCTCCTCAAAAAAGGAGAACATTATATATTAAAAATATTGATAGGTACATTTTTAAAGCAGTTTTGATCACCTAACTCAAATTTTTATCTAAGCAGTGAATTCGAATTGCGTAGAACATTAGCGGAAAAGTTTAAAACTGATAAAGTAACCTTGTGGTAGCCTTCGGTACATAGCTAGAGCTTGCAAAACATGACACTGCCCATAATTGAGATACAATGGACAATTGACCTGTAGATGAAAGCAGTGAAGAAATCTCTAAGGATAGCCCTTTTGAAAAACTAGTGGCGTTAGTGAAAATGCCCTTGCAGTGCGATTAGCATCAGCAAAAGGGCACTAGCTGATATTGTTTCCATAGTCTGGCCCCCTTCGTCATGAAGGGACTTCCCTTCTTGTATTGCGCAATGAAACCATCGTCATATAATTATGGGTCTCTAGCGCTGTCAATAGGGTCAACCGAGCTTGGTATCGTTTGTGTTCATCACACGGGGACCTGGAATAACATTGCTGCAAACTCTTTCACTTTTTCGGGCAGATCGAGAAACGTCATGATGAATAAATACCTACCAGGTAAGGGAACTACTTATTTCATTATTATATTTTCTTCAGAAATGCTTAGCATGTAGCTTGATAATTATCTAGACATATAGCAGGCAGTTCGTTACATCTTATTTAATGTCGTCATGATCGACCTTACATTAACACCAAGTTTGATATTTTAACAAGATAATTATTTTGTTCAAGAAATAATTGCTATTACGGTGACATATTGTTTGAATTCATAATCTAGCTAATTCTATCCCACCTTATTTCTTTTGTATTCTACCACCGAAATGGCCGGCATGACAAAATAAAATGGGCGAACCAACACTATTTAGGCAACCATCACCTCGTATTCGCGCAGAAAGGTTGTCGTCATTTTTACTAACAAAGTGACAAAAGGATATGACCTTCAGTGCATTATGCCTATTATAATGTCAACACATTTTTCTATCTCGCTTCGCTCGCTCGCTGCAAAATTTAGAAACTGGAAATATGTGATACTCGGGCACGGAACCTCAGATCCCTGTAGACATGATGCACTCAGCAATGAAATTTGTATCGACAAAATTAAAGATAATAATGTTGAGTACTGATCATGTGATCATGATTTGAAAGAAACTAAAAAACAAATGGAAAGGCTGATTACGTAGCACATACAAATTGGTGTATATACTGAGAGATTTGGAATCATCAATACGGAAAGAAATCTTGACCCAATCTTCCTGAAATCACATGCACTGTATACACAGAAATGGGCACATTGGACTACACAAACACCAATTTTAAGTCAAACTTTTAAGGTATTTTTTCATATTTCGAACACATTGAATGAGGGCATACGGAGAGCATTCAAAGGGATATTTAGAACATGATATGCTTCCAAACTTACTTTAAACAATGAGAAAGCTCACGAATCAATTTATGTCACCTTCACTACTATTCAATCTTCTTTAAGGTAAAACAGTCAATGGCTGCAATTAATTTGTTGATGAGAGATTCAATTTGTAGCGTTTTTTCGATACTTTTCTTACCGCAGTCCTTATTCTCATGATACCCATCATGATCGAAGCGGGAATCGACAAGGAGAGCGTCCAGGTTGATAAACCTAATGAAGCTGGAGACGGATGTCGAGGATTTTGCGACTATCTTGATGGATATTTCTGCCTGGATTTCTTTGGAATCTGTGAGCCTTGTAGCCAAGCAGACTGTGAGTCTCGCGACAAGTCATTCTGTCCACCGAAGTGCGAAGGTTAGTTTTCAATTTATTTGATGACTTGTTCACGTCATAGCAGAACACTGTCCAGCAATTGATTAGTCTATTACCATGGAAACCCATTGTTTGTCTTTCAGAGAGTTTGAGTTGAATGGAGTGGTTCCCTTTCATACATTAATTATATTTTATTAAAGGAAAACTCATCCCAAATAATAAGTATAGGTATTCTGTAAAAAGAAGATGTATTCCTGCCCTTGGGTGTAAAATATTCCGTACTAAAGTGTACAAGAGATATATATATTAAAATGAAGATATTCTTGGCATGATGTAATGCCTTTTAGTATGACATTGGCGCAGCCATTATCAAGATAATATATACAGAGTAAAAAAGTTGTATTGTTTGAAGTATGAATATTTAATCATGGGTTTCATGATATGTCTTGATAGAGTTATCCTCCCAGTACATTTAGGTACCATTTTCATTTGAATCTCTGCATGCATGACTGAACATCAGACAATCTTTACAAGACTGTCAGATCTCACTTGCGCCAAGTTGCTGGGTGAGGAATAACATAGTGTTTTGAACAAAGACAGTCACACAGACAAAAACATACACACTCTCTCAGAATAAATGAAGTTATTTCTTGCATATGGGGTGAGGTTTCCTTTAAATTTACTGTAGACAAACATTTGTGAATTACGAAATGAGTGCCAATTAGGCCCATGCCATTTCATTTATCTTTCATCTCGCACTTGATCTGTAGATACGAATTAAAGGGACTTGGTAACATTGTTCAGATGAGAGATAGTGGTTCTAAGGTAGTGACTTCAATGCTAGATATACAATTATAAAGATAATCTGAAAATTTGAGTGAAAACGGACCATTATTCATGGTACAAATTGGGAAAAACTGATCTGATCGATTCCTTAATTCTCCCAACTAGGTCTAGATCTAGATCTATAGAACAATTTTATTACATTTTAGGTGAATGGAAATCTCACAAAGCAATAAAATGGCTCTACATTCCTTTCCAGACATTTAAGTGTTGACAGATTTTTTTTATAGCCTGTTTTATGTCTTTTTTTCATGGAAAAACGATTGGGAAAATTCAAAAATGGTTGGGAGAATTTACTGTTAATCACTGTTAGAGGGTGCCTCACATCGACGCCTTCAAAGAAAACCATAGATATCTTCGTGGTTTGAGAATTTTTTTCAGGATTTTTTGCCTGTCAGAGGGTTAGTACAGTAGAAGGAATATAGTAAGTAACATTTTATACAAAAATTAAGCAATTTTTTTTCATCAACCTTCAACAATGTTACCGAGTCACTTTAAATGTAAATGTTTTAGATCACGAAAGTGAACATTGCATTAAGATATTATTAAATATTGCTCCCTTTTTTTTCTTCTTAATTCTTATCATATGGTCATCTCACTCTAGATTACTTGAAAAGACAACAACCCACCTATACTTCACCTACAAGAACGGCGTCCAAATCGACAACACCAGACTTTCCTCAGGGATCGCTATCCTCCACAGCTTCGTTTCAGCATTCCTCTTCATCAGATTCGTTAACCATGTTAACTGATGAACTTACGCAGCCACACTTACGATTCACAAACATCTTTGTCCCAGTAATAGCCACTGGGGCCATTCTTATCCTGATACTTTTATGTACATGTATGATATGTGTATACCCCCGGGCGATGTTTTTTCTCCTGAGTACTATGAGGATGAGGCAAACACGACGCGATGCCTCACCAGCAGTCACGGCGAAGATGAAAGTCAGATCAACGTTTACTCCTGCGAGTCCTAACCCTTGCACATCCGTCGCTATGCCATGTTTGCCGCCTGATCTTATTAACTCACTTTCAACGAATGTGTGACTTCTCTATAATTCCACCTTCGACATGAATGTCACTGGGATACATGATTAGCGGATAATTCTTTTCTTCGAAGAACTGAAGTTTGTCATCACTGAGCTTAATTAGGTATCTCGCTAGGCTGCGACAGATAGCGACTAGTTTCAGACACAGAATTGCGAGAAAATACGCGAATTGGCGACGATTTCACTTGGAATCACACTGAATTGGTACTTTCGGTACATCTGTTGCACGAACTCTCAGCAAATCGTTTAGAGTTCGCATACATGTCGTGCGATATTTGCACATCAGTCGAGTGACATTCGTGCAAATATCGTTCAAATTAGTGACTTTGGTATGTTACAATTTTTTCTCAAGTTATATTCTCAATTGATTCACAGTTTTCGCGGGCTCCGGGGGTCCCGGGGCATTTCGCGCTGTCTCAAGCCCGGAATATCAGATTACCATTGTCTCTATTAGTCACAAGTTAGTTTCATATAGGTCGCCAACCCCTCACAAATCTCTCTCAGATATCTCGCGCTTTCCTACTCACGGAAACTTGATTGAGAAGGGTTCGATGCACCCGCAACGTCTCCGAGAAAATGTGGGGAGAAAATTTGTCGCCCAAATTTTTTGAGCATGTTCAAAATTCAAAAGCGACACGAGAGCACTGCGACTCACGTGAAGAAATTGAGAACCCACGTAAAGGTTTCGAGACATTTTGGCATTGCCCCGCGAATGCCGCTATAGTAATTTGTCGCCAACAGTCGCAGCCAAGTGAGATAAAAGCTGTATATGTGTATATTTATTCAAATACGATTTGTCATGGCCGTCACTTTTATCATGGACCTATTACGGATGGACATTCATCGTTTTCTTAACGAATTCATTGGGATTGTCTCTGTCAATGTCATCTCAATAAAATTCCGTACATGTTTCGTCACTTTGATCTCATTTGGTCACCGCCAAAAAGCCGGGACAGAATCAAGATAGTGATTTTACACATGTTAATCTACATGCGCAGAAGATAATAACTAGCCTAAATCATGGAAAATCGATGTGCAGTTCTGACTTATAATCGGAAATTGTTGTTCCGTGTACTACTGTACACGTATTTTATTTTGAAAAACATGTTGATATTACAAGATAGAGGTTATTTTTGGATTTTGGGGTTATGATTTAAAATCCCATTTCCCCCTATTTCCTCATAATATTCCAGAGTTACAAAGCACATTGCTTATAAAGATCATGGCCTTCTAACTGTTTTATAAGGTCATGGGTGTGTGCGAAAGTGTGCGAATCAGGAATAATACATTTCATATCACCAAAATCGTCTGCTTTTCAACTTTACTGCTCCCCATTGGGGATGCTTTTATTTAAGACACACTCTTACAGAGCACACCATCCAAACAAAACCCAAGAGAGGGAAACTGCTCCTTTGTCAATGACCGAAAATGCTTACACAGTCGTTACTGTTAAAACAGCTGAATGTTCTCATTAAGATGCACATAATCAGAAGGCGGCGACTATCATTGGATCAAAGAAAGAATCACGTTGAATGTCCAGCCGTAATAGGTCCATGCTTTTATAAACGGTTCTGGAGGCGACGCATAGATGCATATATTGGTCTCGAGAAAATTGGTATTTTTGTTGTCTCGTGGACCTTCTAATGCGTGGAATGTCTTCGGGGGATAACATTGAAGTGAACATTGCACTTAATTGGAACAAACTCTCATGAACCTTCTTTGCTTTCCTATAATTCTATCTCCACCACAAGAGCATGTCTTGTAATTAGCTGGTAAATCTGTACAATTCGATTAAAAAAATAAAAGCAGTGGAAGAGCATTTTTATCCTCTGAATTGATTTATTTGAGTTAAATATCATCTTTGAAGTTAAGTTCATGAACATCATAAAAAGAGGTGGTACTCTTTTGAATCAAAGGAACAAAAAAATAGCATAGTGTACAAGCGTGACCGTGAAAGCTGAACTTGGTACCAAGAAACCAACTTTTATAATTATTTTTATTTCCAAACGTAAATACATTTATCGTAAAATATCGTTTGGTTATAGATTGCCTCATCATAAAGGTAATGATTTCACAAGAAACGGAGACCCTAAACTTGTAGTCACGGATTCAGAATGTTTATCAAGTTACAATTAAGCATACACGCTTTTATAGTTTTTCATTCACTCTTCTTGATTTGAAAAATCCAGATGAAACATTCACAAAAAGTGTGTGTGGGTGTGTCTCTTTCTACCTCTCTATCTTTCTTTCTCTCGTTTTATCGTATCATTTCGCTCTAAATTTGTCCATCTCTCTCCACCAATTAACCCACCATTTTCTTTCCACCTTTTCAAAAAAATCTCTCTCTCTCTTTGCCACACTCACTTTTGTCTTTGTCCTATTTTGTGTGGGCTATGGTAATTTTTGGTAATTTAAAAACATAAAACAAATATGCTAAAACTCTCCCCTTTCTTTCTCTCTCTGTCTTTAGCTCTCTCTTCATCCTCCGTCTATATATCACCCCTCCCTCACTCACTCTTTCTCTCTCACTGACTCCCTATCTTTCCACCTGCACTCTCTTTATCGCCCTCTCTCTTCCTTCTATGCTAAAAAACCTACTTAATTTGTCTCCACCTATTGTTACCTCGTAGTACTATACTCTGAAATGTAATGTATTGGCTGTCATCACAGGGCGTCCTTGTAAGCCTTATAATTAGCCTAAATGATTAAAACAAATATGTTAACACTTTCTACCACTTTGATTCAGATTTCGCACAAGTGTCTGTCGAGCCTATATCTTCACAGATTTTGGTAAAAACTAACTTCGTTATTCCATTGCCGTAATCATGGAATTGCCCAACTGAAACATTAATAATCTAGGCCTTTTTGAAACTCACAAAGGTAGAATAGATGGCAAGTTCCAGGAAAATTTACAGACAGAGGCAGAAGGTGAAACATGATAAGAAAGATAAAGAGCAAATAGGTACATGTACAAGAATATGAAAAAACCAGAGAGTCGTGGCAAGCATAATAAATTGTACACATAACTTACCAGTAATGAATTCATGCCATAATTAATACTGGGAGAGAATACACAAATAAAGATGTAGTTTTTCAGCAAAATATACTTTTATTATGAAAAATTGTAGTGATGCGTTTTATATATTCATTTATATTGATGCATTATTTAAAGTGACTATACCAGATTAATCATGCATTAAGCTTCTTCTTTGTTTTTTTTTGTTTGACAATCAGACAAAAAAAATCGACAAAAATTTACAGTACATGTAGTCCATGGAGATATGCTTTGATTCTGATCACTGATTTCTCACTCTAAAAAGTAGCATTAGTTCAAGGTTTAAATTCTGCTCACTACTTCGGTACGGCTAAAACTTGCAGATACATTAAAACATTATTGACATTAATAAAATTACTTTACTAGGAAATTCTGCTTAATAAATTAGACTTAATAAATATAATGAATTCTAAAGAAAGAATATTTTTGGAAAATGTGTTAGAAAATGTATCAATTCTCATCTAGGGAATCTTTATTTTTTAATTGGGGAGAGGTGTACAAAACTTATACATCTACCATATAACTTATTTTAATTTGATTCATTCAGCAATTCATAAGAGCATATATACTACATGTAAACAATGATATCACAAGTAAGTTGAACATCCCTCACTTATGCTCAAGTATAACTGAAAGTCAATGAGATTACCTCGAGGGATATCTGTACTAGTCTATGCTTAACACGTCAGTTAAATATATATGTAAAGCACTTAGAGACATTTCAGATGTATTAAGCGCTATATAAAAGTGAAATATTATTATTATTAGAGTTAAAACTAACATTGTAACAAGATATTCAATTAGAAATTTGAATATGAATGACATAATAAAACTAAATATGATCTTCATAAAAATCTGCCCCTCAATGATTGATTTGGGGATAAGGATTTCAACACACTCTTTTTACACTTCACAACTTTGTACCAGTACAAAGCCCTTTCTTATACTCCCCCTGCCTGGGGCATATACCCTCACGACCCTTAATTAATAACTACGGATCCTATGGAGTGTATGCTTCTGATTGAAATGCCCCCACTTCACATACAGTCTTTACTGAATAACACTAGTAAATAACATTAGTGAAAGAGTACTACAATTGACTTGGACTGGGATTGACATTGATTCAGAAAAGAGCCGCTCAGATTTAGCAATCCATCTCTTTCAGCAATAGCAGAACATACCCTTAATATTAGACAGAACATTGGACGGGATGATGCCCACATTATTGACTTTGAAACTCACTTCTGGTCAAGAAAGGTGAAGAAAGAATCCATCTGGATAAAAAAGATTAATGCATCACTGAATAGGAACTCTGGCTAGTCAATGTCTCTTATCTTCGCTCCAGTGATCTCAAGGCAGCAGACAGCAAGAAACTGTGTTAATAATCACTTAGTTTGAGAAAGTCCACACGAGTGGGCCAAAGCTTGCCCGTCTAAATGTTAAGGTTTGTAAAAGTTAACACTACCTGTAGTTCTAGGATTTCTTATATTCATAAAATTGATGCAATATTCATAAAATTAAAAGGTCATTGACCACTCTAACCTTTGAATGGGGGGGGGGGGGGGGGGGTAAGAGATATTTTTGTATGATCAATTTCATCCCCCAAGGATCACCAATGTTCAGTACATGTACATGAATTGAGTGCAAGTCTATATGACTTCTTGAAGGAGATGCTTAAGAAGCCTTGCTTCATAGGTGACTGTGTTCTTTCCTTCGTGCAGGGGGTCTTCCTCAAGGGGCTGTTCAACAATGGCCACTACATCTCGTCCGTACACTGGATGGGAAATACAATGATGAAAAAATAAAGAAAACATAATAATCCAAAATAGTTTCATCAAAGAAGACAGGGTATTTTACTGACATTGCTACTACTGCAGCTGTAATGTATTTTTAACTGTTCCATCTTTTGGTGACGGCTTAAATACAGTGATTTCTGGTTCTTGTACTCAAGCAGCATCATCATGCGCTCGTCATGCAGTTGGTGATAAATTGTGGAACGTGGCTTTCGACACATCTAGACATTGTGAGTAGCAGTATTCGTCAATCAGAAGTAGTGTCATTAGAATACCCTATCTGTAAGAAGTTGGATGTCACAGGCTCTAAACATACTGACTGAAAATACTGCCCACTCTTTCCATGCAAACATCGTTGTCCTGCACATCTACCTTTACATATTCTTTCTTCCATTTATGACACTACTATACTTGTAATTCCAAGATGGAAATCTTTCTACTACTGCAAGAAGATTTAATAATAGTAATTGCTTCTAGATTCTTGAACCATGTTTTTGTTATTTTCTTTCTTATTTTCCCCTATTGTCTTTAATGGAGGCAGTAAATAAATACATGACATATATGTTCAGTGTTTAGCCTTATGAGCCAAAGGAAGAAGGATCCCTTTTTAACAATCAAAATGGCCAATGAATAATACTTCTATGAGCTTGATGGAACAAAACAAAAAAGAAACCAAAATGTTATTATGCAGAACCAAATTTGTAACATTCATTACAGTCATTATTTATTAAAAAAACTAAAAATAACAAACATAAGGAAAAAGGCAAGTGGCATAAAAGAAAAACGGGCAAGGCCACAATGCATTAATGTGTCAAATTGTCCTTACCTTCGCAGTGTTCTAAAAAGTGAATGCATTCCTCTATGACAGCATCCCTCAGCATGATCATGTGCTTAGCCATGTTCTCTAGAAGACTCAGGAAACAACGCTTGGCGTAGAACCAGGTGTCCGTACCCAACTGTAGAATGTGAATGAATAGTAACGATGATTACAATTATTATTATCACGTTTTTGGCATCTAATGTGCATAGGAGAAATTATTTAGGTTAATTGAATCATTGTGACCCTCGGGTATAACCGGTATAACTGATTGGGGATGCGCAGGGATGACTACACCAGGGTTCCCCCTACTCTTATACAAATAGTGCAGTGGGTTCTTAACAGTAGTAATTCCCCTTTACATTAGGCTGCCATTTAACATCCTATCCACGGGACAGTGTTTTCCACTGTAATGTAGCCTGCTCCTATGGAACAGGTAAGGGCACATTAGCACTCGACACAGACTCCTGATGATGAAGGAAGGTACAACAGAAAGGGAGGATGGGTAAGGATTAGGGACCAAGAATAGAGTAGACAAGAACAACAGCAAAAGGGAAAAAAAGAAGAAAAAAAAGATAATTCTACAAGCTCAATGGGTATTTTGAAGTTATGTTATTAAGTTGCTAAAAATGCGGTTTGATGTGTGCAAATGCAATGAAAAAGTGGTAGATAGATTGCCTTTGGTGTGGATTGGAACTAGCACTGATGATTACAGTAATTATAGTTACGACCTTGTGTTTTGACAACCCTTGAACATTCCAACAATCTATCAATGAAAATATAGTAAAATAGCACTGAAAATGGGCCTGCAAACTAAGTATGACCAGTATCCTGCAAAAATGTGCAGTTTCATAGTGATTACTTGCCGCCCCCCCCCCCCCCACTAACCCCACCTTTAGTCTACAACTTACAGTTTATAAATTTGTATATTTCTTATTCATAAGTACCTGCAGTCTGTGATCGTAATTAACATTTTGATACATTGTTAATCTATTTCCAACTTATTTCCATTTCGTACCTTTCATATCATCATGTTTAGTCTAAATCTTATGTTCATGTATAAACAAATTTGAATTTCCCTCTAGCACAAAATGTTGGCAGATATTTGGTAAACACGTTTTGAAAATATTCAGTTAAGTACCTTCTTCTGATAAGGTTCCAAGCTCTTCATGACCCTTGAGATGCCAAACTCATAGTTGCCCTTGGCACAGTACAGGGTTCCAATCACCAGGTTGACGATGCACAAGTGGTAGATCTTTTTGTCGGGTTCATCATACGCTATCTGCTCTTCCTCCTTCTCAATCTTCCTCATTAGCTCTTCAGCCTGTTTCATGAGAAATAAAGGTGTTTTAAGGTCATGTACATGCAGTAATTGCAAGAATCACAATATTAAGTTAATACAGTACTTTAATCTTAAAGATACACATACCAATTTAAAGAAAAAATACTAATTTGAAAGATAATTCCCTCCACTGGTGGCATTTTCACTGTCTTGTAACTGTTTCATGTTATATGCTCTGTGCTGTCATTTCTATTCTATTTATACCTTGAAATTAAATAATTTCTAAAAATCTGACGATGAGTACAAAGCCAGAGGAGGTGGGTTGATAATAGTGATATAAAAACTTGAAATGCTCATATCCGCCATGCACTGGGTGCTAATAGTGCTCCAGTATAGACCAGCTTTACATAGGCGACCATCAGAAGTTCAAAGCATCCACGGCACTCATGCACTACACCTTGGTGATGAGCAACACATGATGATTACTGTCTTGCCAAAGGACCTTGGACTGGTATGAGCCTGAGGCTAGGACCCTAAACCCATATCTCCTGACACAAATTGAATAAACCACTATACCATTACACTGATACAAGTATTTTTTGTCAATATCCTACATTTATTGTACTATCTAACACAATTTGTAGGAGTAATTATATGAATACATACCTCTTCGTTTGTGGTGTTCATGATGTAGGAGACGCAGATGTTGGCTAGAACAATGGCACTCACACTCAAAATCTGAAAAGAGAAGCAAAATGTTTAACAGAATTACTTCAACTGCAAAAGAATATAAGTAGACACTTAAGAAATGGGCAAATTTACTTCACATAAAAATGTACAAAATATCATTCAGAGCACCATCTTATTAACAGTTGGCTTTGACCCAAATTGATCTAAGAACAACTTAAGTTTGATATCAATTGCAACTCCTAACATAAGAAATGAGTAATTGTAACTTTATTATTAATTGGAGGATTTGGATTCGGATCAATTGCAGTTCTTTTAAAACAGAGGCCCTGATGGTACTTCTCTACCCAAGATATATTTCATATCAGATGGCTAAAGAAGTTCATATTCCCGTCTCTAATCAATACTTGTTAAAATCACAAATCACATCATCCCATCTGATCAAAATAAAAATAAAAGTAATATCATACTGCAAAACTCACGTTGTCATAGTTCTTCTTGACGATAGGCTCGTAGAACCCGATGGCCTCCTTGTACTTGCCCTGCATGAAGAGCACATGGGAGACATTGAGTTTCCAAACCTCATGCTCGTTGCAGAACTCCACCGACTTGCGGAAGATCTTCTCCACCTGGGTGTAGTTCTCCATGTCCCAGTAGATCTTAGCCTGCTGCATCAGGACAGGGATGTACCTGAAGAAACAGAGGACAATAATTATAGTTGACTAGTAAAGGGTATTTTATTTGACACAAAAGCATGATAACATCATTTGTGTAATATTCAACTAGAATGGACTCACAGGTACTTTGGGAGATGGCATTTTCTATCATTTTGGTATCATCAAGATTCTACTCCTCTGACTGGTTGAAGTTGCAGGTATATAATTGGATATTGAATGCTATGTCACAATATCAAATGGCCCTAAGTGGGATACACAGGTATCTCCCATGAGCTCACAAGTAAAGTTGATGAGTGGGCAGACATACATGTCAAATGCAAAAGACACTATAACATACTGGATAACAATGTGCAACATACAACATGCACACTATGCATACTCATTGATCAGCAAATATTCCAAAGCAATATTTTTACAGGCATAACTTTATAGAATTAAATTGAGGGATGCAATATATAAAACAAGGTTTAAACATAACACCTCTACCCCTGTGTGATGTTAAAACTGTACTACGCCGCCGCCCCCCCCCCCCCCCCCCCGCCCCCTTCATCTCAAGCATATGACAGTTTTCAAACCACCTTGGCAATTAAAAGAATAAGTAGGTGTGTAATCAACATTGGTACAGTGCTACACATTTATTGAATCAATGCCTACCTCTCCAAGCCCTCATCGTACTCAATGACCGTCTTCTTGACGGTATCGTCGTCCCGGACTTGCCGCGATTCCTGCACCTGCTTGGTAAGCTTACGCAGCTGTTCAGTGTGACGTGTCGCCATCTCATCCAGCTTACGATAGGCCTCTTCCTTGGATGTCTGCATGGTGATGACGGCATCTAGGAAGTCATAGAGGTACTGGCTGAGGTACTTGAAGGTGAGATGGGCGTTCTCTGCTAGCACATCGGCAGCCAGGTCATAGTACTGTAAAAAGGATGGATCATAACAAAAGGTGGATTGTGCCAATCAGGGCCCCGTCTTTTAATAAAGTGTTACGATTTATCCAAAAGTGTTACGATTTATCCAAATCAATCGTAAGCTCGCCAATCAATTGCAACTTTGCAGTCTCCTATCTCTTATGTACATAGTTGCGGTTGATATCAATTGCAAATAAGTTGCGATTGAAATCAACTCTTTATAAGTTGCGATTGATATCAACCCTTTACAAGTTGCGATTGATATCAACTCTTTATAAGATGGGGCCCAGGACTAAACGCATAGAAGCTTAAATCATTACTAATACTTTATTTGGGGGACATATAGTAAAGAGTGTGAGTAGGGCACTACACAGACTGATTTATAAGCTGGTCATTTGAAGGCTATAAAAAGAAAAAGGAAAGGATCATTCTAAAGTCCTATATGTTATTTTTAAATTTGCCATCAGTTTGATTTCTAAAGGCTTGTTTACACATGTGGCAGTTTATCGAAGAGACATGTAAAAGTGTGTTGTGCTTCACATTTTTTTAATCTCCTAAAACTCAAATAAGTGATTATGTGCAAGACTTTTGTTCTATGCAGCATATACTTGCCTTTCAACTAGTACACACAAAAAAACACTATGGTACATCCTAGTGGTTTACTGCAACAGTTGTGAGCGAGCGTAAAGAGGTCATAATGCAAAATAATTGAATCAAAAGTGAAACAGCCATCAATTTTTGCACTTTAAAAGCCATAAATTCCTTGCTGCAAAATACTGTTGTCTACAAGTCGCAAAAGTTCAAGGTCATCAAATTTCCTGGATCTTCAATAACTTTCTCATCAGAACATTAGAATGCAAGATGCTACACTGATTTCCTCCATTTTAACAAACTAAAATCTGATGAAATATTTTACCTCATATTTCACATAAAGCAGGAGCAGGTTGCCAAACGTCTCTGGAGGGAATGGATTTTGTTGAAGAAGGAACTGAAGTTTCTCAAATCCTTGTGTTGGTTGAGCCTCCATGTTCATTAGGGCCTGGTTGTGTAAGGTCACAGGGTCAAGTTCCTGTTACAAGAGAAAAGATAAAAATACAATGACATATTGAATCAACATAGGTACATGTGAATAATCAGGAGAGAAGCTTTGATGTTTATCTTGATTTCTAATGTTACAAAAATTTCTATAATTACAAAATAAAATTGAATTAACAAATTACAAAATAAAATTGAATTAACAATTTACAATTAGTAGCTGACAAACATTTATTGAGTGGACTATGGATGTACATTTCTAGGAGAATGCATACCAAACCTTCATCTACACAACCCATCATAGTCTCATTGTCTAAATTGTTAAGACAGTTCATTACCTCAGTGATCTAAAATTGTTTAGAAATTTGACCTACAAAATGCCTTTCAATCAAAGTTTAAATGAACCTTTATGAATACCTACTAACGTAGCTTCACACTTCCAATTTTATTTTCATCATTGACAATATATATTTGAAATTTTCTATCTTTCTTTATTCACTTTTGTTTACTGATTGCAATGTGTTTATATATGAATTTTATTTTGTTTTGTTTGTATTCTGTATGTGCTGGTTCACTGTTATGATCGTAAGGGGGGCCACTGTGTGTTTTGCAAACCATTGGGTTTTTAATGAAACTAATATATAATTGAGTTTTATATGTTGAAGAAAAAAAAGAACCTATGAATGATCTTGTCATGATTACCTCTTCTGCTCTAGGTGGCATATCTGTCAATGCTTCTTGAGACGCTTCCACTGTAAGCAAATTAAATACATAACAAATATGAAATACTAAATCATATAAGCTTACATTTCTTCTCTTCCATAACTCATTAATTTGCTCTGATATATTCTCTCTCCCAAAATTACTGGAGAAACGACAGAAAATGAATAACTCACAGAATCAAACAAAACTGACACTTAAAGCTGATGTAACTGTAGTGGGACCTAACATATCCATCTATGTATGTAAAAATAGTAACATTAAAATTGGAAAGAATCTGATAGAAGAAGAAGATGCATTAGTGTGCATGCATTTCTAAAACTCATCAAAGTAACTCAAATAAATCCAGATTTATCTTGCAATCAGAGATCTCAGCAACCACATAGAAAATAAAGCTGTTGAATACATTTATGCCATATTTACACTTAAAATAAGAGAATAATTAATGCGATATGTACGCTTACAGTTTTTAAGTTGGTACTCTATGGCAGCCTTGAGGTTAAAGGCCTCTATCAGAGCAGTCTCATGGAGTATCAGGGTGTTACCAACACTCCGCACATCAATGCCTTCAGTCGTCATCCCCACACTCAGTTCTGTGCAAAGGATAGAATGGAAAAATTAGCTCAGTACACCTTTTATGAATCAGTAATATCAATGAAAAGACAATGTTTAGGTTTCTGAACGAGTATAAAACCCAAAGACGTAATATTTTCAAAACATTTATATGAGCCATTAAATTGTATTTTTTCGTCAATCCCAGCTCCACACTTTTAGATTCTGTATGTACAGGGCCAATGTAAAAAAAAAAAGAAGATAATTTGGAGGGTCTGGACGGAGATTTTCAGCACATGTTTCCTGAGCATAACATTTCCAGGTTTTCTTCCCACAGATGTTCTATATTTGTATAAAAAGTAATCTATTATCTGCATATAGTGTCAAATTTGCATATCAGTGAAACAGATAAGAAGACAACAATTTAGTCTCCACTGATAAAGCATCTGAAGACTTAATTCATTTGAAACTCTACAAATTATGGGTCGAGACTAAATTGTTAGCCAAACATACGTGCAGAAACAAAACAGAACATAAAATGTAATTTAGTAAAAAATCTCTTCTTTTTTTCACTACCTGTACAGCAGATATATAATAATGCAAAAAAAGCAAAAAAGTTCTTTAATTAAAAATAAGCATTTTAACAGCATCATCTAAATCTCACCTGGATGTTCTCGTATGCCACGCTCAATGATTTCTGCAATGTTGCGAAGAGCTGGAGCATACTGCTTCATACTGTAGTAGCACAGGGCAATATTATATGCCAAATCTGGTATTGAAGAAAGGATGGAAAAATCACTTCAACTAGGGAGCACTTATTATGATATGTTCAAAAGAGCAATGGTGCTTTCAAACAGACAGTAGTAGTCATTATTACATGAATGTTTGTTCCTTCAAAAGTATTTTTATTCAACTTGTGATTGTTTTCAAAGTTAGAGAGTCTGCAAAACAGCTACGATATTAAGAAATGGCTGCATATAATAACAGACTAACTGACATTATTGCTGGACTTTATAAAATATGCAAGTACAGCATTTAGATATACAGTATAGATTTATTCTTAGATGGGGTATATTCAATATACCCTATCTAAGAATAAATATTGACAAGTTTGTGAAAGTCCCATTTTTACTTGCATCACAAAATAAGTAGTAATACATAATAACTGCAGAATACCCAAGTAAAACAGTATACCCATCACATCAAACTTCCAAATAATCAATCCAACTTAATTTATAAGTAGAAGAAAGAATTCACCAAAAGAGAAACACAAAATTATACCAAAAATTGCATTCTCAGTTGTTCAATTTAATGACATATTTGAACCTAAATTCAGAGTTTCCCTGAGTGATGTTATTTTGCCGAGGCCAGATGCTGAGGTTGAAATATAATGGCACGAGGGAAATTCTGAATATAGAGGTGAATATATATATATCATATTGAACTAAAAAATGCATGCAATATTTGTTATGTAAATTTTAGGGTATTTCTGGTCTCATCCATTCCTCATAATGGGCACAGCTAAGACAATGACAACAATGGATGTGCGCAATTTTGAATGCATTACAGTGCCAAAAAGGTTGCTTTATCGCAAGGTTGTGCACATAAAAACAAAGGAGTCCAGTGTCAAGTGATAGCTTCTCAGCATTCTCTCAAACAAATAACTTATTTCATATGTTCAGATATGGGCTGTCATTTGCCCAAATCAATTGAAGTAGAAGCTATGGAGAGTCTTGGAGACATAGTGCACCCAAATGATACAGGATTGTTTACCAGGATAGAAGGAAGGTACACAGAACCAAAATCTTTGCTGTCACATCATCCATAAACTTACCAATGCCCTCTTCTAATAATTGTGAATAAAAGAAAGTTTAAATGTATGATATCAGAGACTTATAAATTTTTAAATAAAACTATGATCAGGCTGACAAACTTGTTACTTCACAGATTAGAATTAGGATAGATATTTTTGATTTAATTGCTTCCATAGTATAAACTATAAAAAAAAACTAAACCCTAAAGGCATCCAATAGTTCAGTCACAGATATGAGAATTTCTGCAACGTGGAAGCCGATATATTTTCAAACCGGACAGGCAACTAATTTTTACATTAAAATGGCATCTCAATATTGGGTCAGGAAAAAAAAAATATGTTGTTTTGTTTTTATTTTTTTACCACTGGAATGATGCAAACCCTCGTTAGTTTAATCTATTTCATTAATTCATGATAAATAAAAGATGGTGACAAATGTTAGGAATCAAAAGAGATTGCATCATTTCCAGTACAAAAAAAAATGTTTGATTTTTGTTCAAGCATACACATGCTTTCTTAGCAATTGGGTAAAACAAACCATCATTCCTATTCATCCTAGCTAGTGTCTATATGTATCCCATTTTCCCATGTTCACCGTGAAGGTACTTAGCTCAACAATTTCAGGGTACATTATTATTTCTAATAAATGCGATGATCTTACCTGCTCTATAACCCATTATCTGCATGGCAGTAGTGAACTTCTGACATGCTTGCTCATAGCGACCCTCTTTGAAGAGAAGACAACCAAGGTTGACCTCTGTGTCAGGGTCATCGTTGGGACACTGCTCAACTAGACTCTGATGTCATACAGAAAACAATACATTTGATTACATACAGTGTGGTTGAACCACAGCTGAATCAAATGAAGTTCTATTCAAATACATTTGTCAATACATTAGAGAAAATGCAACAATATGGTTTCTTTGTAGTAATGGTCAACAGGACAACTCTTTGTTAAATCTGTTTTACACTTATTATGACAATACTAAGTGCACAGCAATTCATGAATGCCCAAACTGCAACTTAATTTTCATCTCACGGAAGTATTTCATGTTTTGGCCACAAACGTGGCAAGAAAATTGCAGTCGATACTACCTTTAGCTGTTACTTGTCATATTTGGAATATGTGGGCATTTGAAGAGATATCCCTTCAGGGACATATTTTTCTATGAGATTCTTCCACACTAGCATACAAAGAAAGATAAAGGTCACAAATTTTTTGTTCATCTTTCCAAGAACTCAACCTTCTCTTTAAGACCAAACTAATACATACCTTTGCTCCAGGCAAGTCTTCTTCTCCATACTTGATTGCAGCTTGTAGCTTTGTGATCTGGTCATATCAAATGTAAAGAAATGAAAGAAAAGATCTTTTAGAAACGTCATAAAGACAAAGAATATTAGAAACACAGTAGAATCAATACACAAGTAAATAAAAAAAACTTTAAAAAAACTACCGATACATAATGATATTTTTCATGGAGGACACAATCACAATGTATACATCTGGCAAGTCTGAATAGAATATCAAGCATTGTGCTTGATGAAATCTCATTGCAAGGTGAAGTTGGTGCCAGAATCGACTGCCTGGAGAAAGAATCTTTGGAAAAAATAGAAAAGATAAAAGCTTCAGAACTCACACATATCACCTCTATGACAATATTTCAGTTTAAAATATATTTAATGTACCAATTAGCTGCATAGCACCTGTTCCCATGGAGGAAATTAATTATTAAACAGAAAAAGAGAATGAAATCTTTAAAGATTAAATTCTAAAATTTAATTTGTGATAGTTCTCCATAGGCATGGATAAATAGAATTCCAAATCCTCAATGAACTGACTCATGGTCTAGTCTGTGCTTTATTTTGTCAAAGGTATAAGGTTAGAGCGGCAATTGCAACTATTTTTAGGATTAAGATTTAAGCCACATGTACATGTATGTGTTGTGCTAAGTCCAGGGTTAAATTTAAGAATATGGTTAATGAATAAAAGGATTGTTGAGTAATTGTTCACATGCCCATGCATCACATCATCGTTATCTTCATTTAACAACCACTTTCCCCATTTTGTTCATATTAATGGCCTAATTCCTCTAGGGCTTCCAACCTTCTGAATCCACCAGGCTGAGGCCAAATACTCTCATATCAAATATGATCCCCATGAGGGCTATAATGTCCTATGGTGCATACCTTGGGCTGGTACTCCTGGTTTTCCACCTGGAACGTGGCCTTCATGGCCTCTGGGTAGGCGCAAGCATGGTAGAGTGCCTGGGCGTAGTACAGCCGATAGGTGTCCACCTCTGGGAAGAACTGACTCAGCTGCTCATAGCACTCGGCGGCGTTAGCATAGTCTTGGACATGAAAGTAACAGTAGCCGAGCAGAGACAGAGCTGCACGGGACTGCAGAGTAAACAAGCACAGAAATGCCAGCATCAGTTTACATCGAAGTTTAAGAGGGTCAAGATTTTGTCAGCATGCAGATGCTATCTAAACTAGTAATAGCACATATTGAATTGTTTGTTGTGCCCACAATAACATTCTCATTACTAGAAGCTCTCTTAACACTGGTAATTATTTGATTACAAATTCACTCAAAGACAATTTAAACTTTTAAATAAAACCAAAGCATAACAAATTTGGACCTTAAAGACAGAGTTCCAATAATACATATGGAAATATTTCTTCCACCCTCAAGCAGGAGGAGAAGAAGAACAAAGAGGAGGAAGAAGAGGAAGAACAACAAAGAAGAAGAAGAAGAAGAAGAAGAAGAAGAAGAAGAAGAAGAAGAAGAAGAAGAAGAAGAAGAAGAAGAAAAAAGAAGAAAAAAGAAGAAAAAGAAAAGAAGAGGGGAAGGAGAAGAAATCTTACTCTTGGATGATTCTGTAATTCCTGGGAGAGGATGTGTATGGCATCAATGTACTTCCCTTCTTTGATCTAAACATACAAAGGAAAGAAGTCAAGAATATTAAACAGACAAATAAGACTATTAGAAAAATTCTTAAATCACATTTCCATCTCCCTTCTTTGATCACAAACTAATCTGACAGAGTTAAAATCAGAATCCAATTTTTCAATATTGCACTGGTTACCTTGCCTTTCATAAAGGAGATGGTGGCAGCAGAAAGCAAAGGACTAGGGATGAGTCATGTCGGGACTTTTATAAACCGGGTCCCGACGGCCTCGCACCGATCGGGACCCGGTGTCCCGAAATCAGCTAGCAGGATTTGTCACTTGCCTCTATAAAAAAGCGCATATCATCATCAGTATGTCCCTTAAAAGTGACCTTTTTATCAATCAAATAAATCAACACATGCATACCTTGGCTCAGATTGGTATATTTTCCCATTTGACATTATTTTCATTCATGTTTGGCGATGTTTAATGCCATTATCATGCCTCTAAAATTTTGATTCATGCAGGTTGAATAAATCGGGTCAAAAAATATGAATGTTAGAATTATAAAACGGTCCTACAAAGGACCATAATATAGTATAAACACCATGAAAACTTTCAGATCAAAGACATAACCTAGACTAGACTCTAGGCCTAATTAGATCTAAATACAAATCTAAGATTGCAATCGATGGATCATAGATCTATATTGAAAATGATTACTCTATGTACATGTGATGTACTGATCATCAGGCCTGAAGACAAAATCCATATTTTTGTTACTCTTTGTTCCACAGTTATTGAAATAATAAAAATACATTTTGTTACTTTTTTGAAAAATCCAAAAGAGAAATAAAAATTGCCATGGCAAATCAATTTCATTTCTGAAGACTGAAGTTTCAGTGGTGGTTTTTCGGCATAGCGGCAGTGGTTTTATCAGCTACATGTACTGGGTCAATTACCTGACCAAACACCCAGCATTGAGCCTGCAACAAATGCAGAATGGAATTCTGCTGAGGAGTGAGGGGACCCGGAGGCAGAAGGTCGCATAACCTGCAGAATTCCATTTCTGCGGTGGCAAACCCGGACTTTAGTGCCCAGCTGAAAATCTCAGTTTATTATGGATTTAATATCAATAATATTAATTATGCTAATATATGCAAATATAAACATACCAAAACTTGATGATTTTTAATCATTTGACGTCATAAAAAGCAATTTTAAGCCAAAAATAGCAGCGAAGTAGGGGATCTCCTCTTTGCTTGATGCGAGATACTAGCGAACTGAAATAACCGAATAAAAACTATGGTGAACTAAAAAAAGAAAAGAAAAAATCAAACCACCTCTGAAATTACCTTTGAAATGTTTATTAATTTTTTCTTCCGATATGCGCACATGATAGGGGCAGGTTGGGATGGCCAGTTGCCCTTTTACCCCAAATTTGGCGACTATTGAGCACCCCCCCCATCCCATCCCAACCTGCCCCTATCATGTGCGCATATCGGAAGAAAAAATTAATAAACATTTCAAAGGTAATTTCAGAGGTGGTTTGATTTTTTCTTTTCTTTTTTTAGTTCACCATAAGTCTAGTTTTTATTCGGTTATTTCAGTTCGCTAGTATCTCGCATCAAGCAAAGAGGAGATCCCCTACTTCGCTGCTATTTTTGGCTTAAAATTGCTTTTTATGACGTCAAATGATTAAAAATCATCAAGTTTTGGTATGTTTATATTTGCATATATTAGCATAGGTCTAATTAATATTATTGATATTAAATCCATAATAAACTGAGATTTTCAGCTGGGCACTAAAGTCCGGGTTTGCCTCTGCGGTTTCACAAAATGACATCACAATACAAACAGAGCTATCGAGTGTGTGTCTCACAAGTTGATTGCTACCACTGTACCAGTTCTAGAGATAGATATTAATAACTTAGGTCTTTCTAGTTAAATTTTATACCCGACCCCATGCCCCACCACCACCACCACCAGCAATCTAGCGGTCCGAGTCCGCTCCCCTCTCCACGGCCACTCGCCTCCGACCAGTAGGCCTACCCGACCCGGTAACCTTTTTGGACGACTCAGTCAAGTGTGCAATTTCAGCTCTCTTACCATCGTATATATTGAGGCCGTATATTCTCCGTCTTTAATGTTTTGGGCTGCCATCTTTCCTCAGTATGATCTTGGCCAACTTCAAATGAATCCACTCCTTTTTAACTAATTATAAACTGAGATATAAACAAAGGAATATGTCTGTAGTCGCACGGTCACGGCGTCATTTCACCAAGACGACGAGATAAAAATGAGAAGGAATTTACCTCGTGCGCATGCGCAGTGCACGCAGAGCTGGCTAGCTAGAGGGCGCTAGCGCATTTACATAGAAATCGTGCATCACTGCACTGCATGCATTTATTTTAGGAACATTCATTCTTAGTATACAGTTCATTTGTATCTTCCCAGATCATTCAACTCGGATGTTGACATTTTTTCCCACAAATTTCTATAAGCTGTCATTTTAATACACTCACGCAGTGTCATTCCGCTTCAAGTTTTTAAGTTCTCCTCGAAGATGGTTTTCGGCTTCCCTCGACAGTATCTTAATTCTACTATAATAGTTCCTATAATTCTAACGAATCTCTCAGATCGAGAGACTCTTGTGACCAGGCGCGGATCCAGGGGGGGGGGGGGGTGGGGCCGAGCGGGCCTTGCCCCCCCCCCCCCCCGCAAAAAAAAAAGGAGAGAGAGAGAGAAGGAAAAGAAGGGAAAGGGAAAAAAAAGAAGATGAGGAAAAAAGAAGATGAGGAAAAAAGAAAAGAGGGAAGAAGGAGATCGGGGGGGGGGGGGGCAAAAGGACTTGCCTCCCGGGCTGTTGCCTCCCCCCTCCCCCCTCAATCAACAAATAAAAGAGAAGGAAGGAAAGGGAAAGAAAAAGAAAAAGAGGAGATAAAGGGAAGGACAAAAGAGGAAGAAGAAAAGAAAAGAAGGGGGATATCAGTTGCAATTTTCCCGCCAACAAGTTGTGGATCCGGGGGGGGGGGGCAAAAGGCCCTAGCCTCCCCCCCCCCCCCGTCCCCGCTAAAAAAAAAAGAAAGAAGGAAGGAAAAGGAAAAGAGGAGAGCTAAAAGGGAACACTAAAAGAGGAAGAAAAAAAAAAGAAAAGGGAGAAAAGAAGCGGAGATCAGTTGCAGTTAATCCCGCCAACAATGTGTGGAGCGGGGTGGGGACAAAAATGACCTTGCCCCTCCCCCCTCCCCCCAGCAAACCTAAAAGAGAGATAAGGAAGGGAAGGGAAAGGGAAAGAGGAGAGAAAGGGAAAGAAAAAAAAAGAGAATGAAGAAAGGTAATTAGGGATATCAGTTGTAATTTTCCCGCCAACAAGGTGTAGATCGGATGGGGGGGGGGGGGGGTGCACTGGCGTACTGATAGGGGAGGGGGGAGCTATGGAGAAATAGAATTCAAACGTGGTTTATTTCTAATTCCATAACGGTGGTTTACAAATAATGCTGAAATGAGATAATTTTCCGAGATTTTTCCTCACTTTATGCGTTTGTTGGAAAATGACAAATTCCTAAATTTACAGCCAGGCAAGAACATGCTTCTTGAGATGCCTTCATATCAGGGCCCACATTTCTGGGGGCTCTGCCCCCTGGTCCCAACCAAGAGCCCTTAGGCGGGCCCCTTGATACTCATCTGACCGTAATTGAGTGCCTAAAACCCTTGAGATTCCGGGGCTCTGCCTCCTGAACCCCAAGCCAATTAGTGACCTGCCACTGTAACAATTAGGTATCAAAATAATGTTCATCTGACCGTAATTAAATGCCTAAAACTCCTGAACTTCCGGGGCTCTGCCCCCTGGACCCCGCCTAGGGCCCTAAGGCGGACTCCTGAATGCTAATCTGACCGTAAATTAAAACCTTAAACCCCTGAGCTTCCGGGGCGGACAAGGTATCAACATATGTTCATCTGACCGCAGGCGCGTAGCCAGGGGGGCGGTGGGGTGGTCCCCCCCATAAACACCGGCCATAAAAAGAGAGGAGTGAAAAGGAAAAGGACGTAGGAAGAAAAGGGAATAGACAAAGAACATTTTTGAAATTCAGACAAGGATTAAGAGTCGAGAACGGTACAACGAATCGTCTTCTTTCTCTAATGAATTAATGAAACGTCAAAGCTTCCGCACTTCGCGCGGGAGGGGGAAACTGAAATGAGACGAGGATTAAAAGTCATAACGGTATACGAATCGTCTTCCGTCTCTAATGATTTAATGAAACGTAAAAGCTTTCGCGCTTCTCGTGAGATGGGGGGAAACGTCTTCTTTCTCTCATAATTTATTGAAATGTCAAAGCTTCCGCGCTTCGCGGAGGAGGGAGGGGAAAAATCGCCCCTCCCGGCACCCACCCACCCCTAATTACGTCACTGCTGGTCACCATTACGTACCAATATTTGGCTCGCATAATTTCAAATTTGGGCCTTCCCCCCCCCCCCCCCCTAAGAAATCTTGGATCCGCGCCTGCTTGTGACTGTCTTAATTACGACCAAAAGTTTTACCTTTCTTTCTTAAACTATTCCTATGAGGATATTTTGTTTAATTAAGCCCTGTCTTATGCAATATTTCTCTGTTAGTTTACAAATCTTTCCATGATATTCTCATTCTCTCGTACACCCAATTTTCGAATGATGGGATTTTTGCATTTTTCTCATAGTTGGGCATGCCTATAGGCTTGGTTATAATAATCATGTCCATGTTTCTGCTTCATGATACCATGACCATTAATTTTAATTAATTGAACAGACCAGACATAGCCATTCATCATTCCCATTCTAGGGCCAAATTTCACTTCATTGCCAAGAATGTATTCCGTATTCCCTTCTTTTCACAGATGCGTCGCACCCCTGCGCCTGCCATCATCAAGTCAGCTACAATATTTGTGCTAGATCGGTCATAAGTATAAACAGGATTAAGAGTCGAGAACGGTACAACGAATCGTCTTCTTTCTCTAATGAATTAATGAAACGTCAAAGCTTCCGCACTTCGCGCGGGAGGGGGAAACTGAAATGAGACGAGGATTAAAAGTCATAACGGTATACGAATCGTCTTCCGTCTCTAATGATTTAATGAAACGTAAAAGCTTTCGCGCTTCTCGTGAGATGGGGGGAAACGTCTTCTTTCTCTCATAATTTATTGAAATGTCAAAGCTTCCGCGCTTCGCGGAGGAGGGAGGGGAAAAATCGCCCCTCCCGGCACCCACCCACCCCTAATTACGTCACTGCTGGTCACCATTACGTACCAATATTTGGCTCGCATAATTTCAAATTTGGGCCTTCCCCCCCCCCCCTAAGAAATCTTGGATCCGCGCCTGCTTGTGACTGTCTTAATTACGACCAAAAGTTTTACCTTTCTTTCTTAAACTATTCCTATGAGGATATTTTGTTTAATTAAGCCCTGTCTTATGCAATATTTCTCTGTTAGTTTACAAATCTTTCCATGATATTCTCATTCTCTCGTACACCCAATTTTCGAATGATGGGATTTTTGCATTTTTCTCATAGTTGGGCATGCCTATAGGCTTGGTTATAATAATCATGTCCATGTTTCTGCTTCATGATACCATGACCATTAATTTTAATTAATTGAACAGACCAGACATAGCCATTCATCATTCCCATTCTAGGGCCAAATTTCACTTCATTGCCAAGAATGTATTCCGTATTCCCTTCTTTTCACAGATGCGTCGCACCCCTGCGCCTGCCATCATCAAGTCAGCTACAATATTTGTGCTAGATCGGTCATAAGTATAAACAAATAGTGGCATATCAAATATTTGTTCTAGAAATTGAATTGAATATAAATCAGGATCGAGTATGGACCGGGGTGGCAAATTGGCCATCAAGTTACAACAACACGAATCAGAAGTTTTGGTATGGGGTCATGAATTGGAAGCATATGCGATCCTACTTAACGGGAGGTTTTTTCATAAACCGGGATATTCTCGAAGCGGGAGGAAGCTAGGGCGTGGCCGGTCCACCACCATGGTGGCGGGAGGCCGCTATACGAGCTGCAGTGGGACGGCGAGAGGATGAGCGTGGTGGTGTTAGATTCCCTCCCAAAATTAATGCGGGAGTAGAGGGTTGACAGCCTGATATAGCTCAGCGACCTGACTATATTGACCTATACCTAGCTCTTCTTTCAGGAAAAGCTCAGGTAAATTGTTATTCGTTTTCATCTTCAAGTTATCATATCGCTACAAGAGTACAGCTACAGATAGATAGATACAAGACAAATACAACGGTTAACGGCCACCTTCTCGTGAGTATTTCCTCAGTTGTAATCATAGGCGCCGGAAGTGGGGGGGGGGGGGGGGCAGGGGGGGCAGGGGGGGCAGTTGCCCCCCAGTCAAAAAAGTTGGGGGGGGGGGGGCAAAACGCATTTTTGCCCCCCCCCCCAAAAAAAAAAAAAAAAGAATAAAAAAAAAAAAAACAGTAAAGAAGTAAACATGGTTTGTATTTTTAATCCAAAAGAACGTAACAATAATAAAAACCTGAATTAAATCACATATACAATTCCATTCAAAGAAAAAGGAAAGTTCACAGGAATTAAATTTCATAAACATTGCGCATGCCACCTATACGGTATTTAAAATGGAGGTCTCTATAATAGCGATACGCGCATATCGTGGACATATTTGTGCGAGAATGGGAAAGCGTGTCCGTTTTTTTTGTTATAGGGGTGAGAAGACATGAGCCCCTGAACGCTGGCGTACTGATGGGGAGGGGGGGGGGTATAGTACAGGCGCGGATCCAGGATTTCTTAGGGGGGGCCCAAATTTGAAATTATGCGAGCCAAATATTGGTACAGAATGGTGACCAGCAGTGATGTAATTAGGGGGGTGGGTGCAGGGAGGAGCGTGTTTCCACCCACCCTCCTCCGCGAAGTGCGGAAGCTTTGACATTTCAATAAATTATTAGAGAAAGAAGACGATTCGTTTTACCGTTCCCAAAAATAATCCTCGTCTGAATTATGTCCCCCCCCCCCCCCCCTCGCGCGGAAGCTTTAACGTTTCATTCAATCATTAGAGAAAGAAGACAATTCGTTGTGTCGTGTTATCGACTCCTAATCTTCGTCTAAATTCAGTTTCCCCCCTCCCGCGCGAAGCGCGAAAAATTTTTTAGAGAAAGAATACCAATCGTTGTAACGTTCTCGACTCTTAATCCTTGTCTGAATATCAAAAATGTTCTTTGTCTACACCCTTTTCTTCATACGTCCTCTTCCTTTTCACTCCTCTATTTTTTTGGCCGGCGGTTTTTGGGGGACCAT